GAACCTTTTTTTCTGCCAAAGGCCATTTGGATATTTAGAATATCATTTGTGGGCCATACAAAATTACCAACTTAAAATTAGCCTGCTATAGATTTACTAAATTTCAAGTCTCATCTGTGGTTACTTTGGCAGGGCCAGACCAAATGATTTCTTGGGCCTTATAAGGCCTATGCACCAGATGTTCCCAATCTCTGTTACAAGGCATGGCTTATCTAGACTTTTAATTAAGAACTTGTGGGTCAAGGTCAGTGTTGTACTGGAGTGGGTTAAGCTGCTGCTGGTGATGCCAGCATCCCATGTTACAACACCTATTGGAGTCCCAGCTGCTCTGCTTGGGAAGGCAGCAGAAGATGACCCAAGTCCTTGGGCCTTTGCCACCCATGTGGGAGACCTGAATGACATTCCAAGCTCCTAGCTTCAGCCTGGCCCAATCCCAGCTGTTGTGGCCATTTGGGGTCTGTCTGTCTGTCTGTCTGTCTCTCTCTCTCTCTCTCTCTCTCCCACACACACACACACACAGTGTGTGTGTGTCTCCCTCTTTCTCTGATGCCCTGTCTTTCAAATAAATAAATATTAAAAAAAAAGAATCTATGGGTTATGGGCAGGCATTGTGGTGCAGCAGATTTAGTCTCTGCTTAGGATGCCTGTATCCCATACTGGAGTGCCTATCTGAGTCTCGGCTCCTTTGCTCCAGATCCAGCTCCCTGTCAATACATCTTGGAAGACAGCAGATGATGGTCCAAGTGTTTGGGTCTCTGCTACCACATGGCTGACCCAGATGGAATTCCAGGCTCCTGGCTTTTGTACAGCCCAGCCCTGGCTATTGTGGGTATCTGGGAAGTGAACAAGCATAATGGAAGACCTCTCTTTCTCTCTTTATCCCTTTCTCTGTGTGTCACTCTGCCTTTTATGTATGTATGTATGTATGTGTATATATGTGTGTGTGTGTATATATATATATATATATATATTTCTTTTTTAAACTTATGGCTCAGGGCCAGTGCTGTGGCATAGTGGGTTAAGCTGCCATCAGTAGTGCTAGCATCCCATGCGGCTGCCATTTCAAGTCCCAGCTGCTCCACTTCCAATTCAGATCCCTGCTAATGTGCTTGGAAAAGCAGTAGAGTATGGCCCAAGTCCCTGGGCCATTGCACCCACACGGGAGACCTGGATGAAGTTCCATTGCACCCACATGGGAGATAAAGTTCTTGGCATGGCTCAGCCCTGGTCATTGCAGCCATTTGGGTGAGTGAACCAGCAGACGGAAGATCTGTGTGTGTGTGTGTGTGTGTGTGTTTCACCCTTTCTATAACTCTGACCTTCAAATAAAAATAAATAAATAAATAAATAAATAAATAAATCTTGCCCCCCTCCTTTTAATAAAAAAAAAAAAACAACTCATGGGTCTTTTACTCTTTAGCCCTCACTGGAATGGCTTTCCCCTCTGTGGAATTTCAATTCCTTTACTTATTGTTTCCACAGATCTCTAATGTCCTAAAAATTACCATTTTTTAAAACTTAAATGGATTTTTATAGTTGCTGCTGTAGGAGTATTAGTTTATCACAAATTACTACATCTTGTCCAGTAAAAGAAGCTCTTCTGTGTTCTTTAAAGAGGAAAGAGATGAGTACTCATGGGCTCACAGCATAATTCTAAAGGTGCTTTCTCCCACCATTCTCTGCAGTTACTGTCTATCATGATAACTACCAACACTATTCAGACAGCATAACTATTGAGGATACCTTGAGAGCTGATACTCTCACATTCCCTAGTATTGTTAATTGCTTCATATACTGGGCCAAAGTGGTGAAAACAGAACCAAGTGAATGAGGAAGAATTGTATGGTAGAATTCCTATGCCTCAAATGCTAACAATGTTTATTGTTCTTTTTTCTTTTTAGATTTGTCTATGGAACCATGTAAATATTTCACATTATTATAAAAAAAAGAATTTTAAAAAAGCTACTTATAACATTATAAATACTATAAACAATATAACAAAATAAAATAAACAATATAATATACTTATAAAAAATATAAAATATATAGCATAGCCATATACAAAGGATCTATTCCAAGTGATTTAATACACATTAGCTATACATACCTAGTAAGATATATTCTCAGAAGAAAAATATCTGCAAAAAATCTTCAATCTTAATAATTATAATAAGAGTGATGGTTTGGTATTGATTGCTATTCCCACACTGTTTACTGTATGTATAATGTGCATAATGATAGAAAGGAGATATAGATAATTGACTTTAAGGATAAATCTTACACACTTGAATTTGATCTGTACATATAAGTATGAATTACATGAGAGGTTTTAAAAAATTAATAGAAAGTGCACATTATTTTCCAATTGCACTTTTCATGAACTTTTTGAAGTACTCTTGTAAGCATAAATATAGTAATTTTTTAAAAGATTTTTTTTTTGACGGGCAGAGTTAGACAGAGAGAAAGGTCTTCAGCCCCCAGATGGGCGCTGTGGCTGGTGCGCTGCGCCGATCCGAAGCCAGGAGCCAGATGCTTCCTCCTGGTCTCCCATGCAGGTGCAGGGCCCAAGCACTTGGGTCATCCTCCACTGCCTTCCCAGGCCACAGTAGAGAGCTGGACTGGAAGAGGAGCAACTGGGACAGAATCCAGCGCCCCAATAAGGACTAGAACCCGGGGTGCCAGTGCCACAGGCAGAGGATTAGCCAAGTGAGCCGCAGCCCTTAAAGATTTTATTTATTTATTTGAGAGGTAGAGTTACAGAGGGACAGAGTGAGACAGAAAGGTCTTCCATCTGCTGGTTCATTTCCCCAGATGGTCACAAGGGTGAACTAGGCTGATCAGAAGCCAGGAGCCAGGGGCTTCCTCCAGGTCTCACACATGGGTACAGGGGCTCAAGGACTTGGGCCATCTTCTGCTTTCTTAGGCCATAAGCAGAGAACTGGATTGGAGGAGGAGCAGCCGGGACTCGAACTGGCACCCAAATGGGATGCTGGCACTGCAGGTGGAGGCTTAGCCTACTATGCCACAGGGCTGGCCCTAGTACAGTGTATTTTATCTTTAAAAAACAATCACATATTTCCTAACTCTTGCAGGGAAAAAAATCTAAGAGATAATGATCACTCAATGATAATGAGCTCCTTTAAGACACAGAATGTGGTTTCAGGAAACTATTATCATTAAAATATATCAAGGCTCCTTAGAGGAAAAGCTTGTTTGGGGTCAGAAGCTAAGCCTATACAAGATGAGCCTGGAAAAACATAACACTGTATAGCAAGGAAGCCGAAAAAACTACCAGAGACATGTCAAAAGGATTCAGGAACCAATGTGGTGTAACTAAATAGTATCAAGATTATATATTCTAGTACTGGTTGGGGCGCCAGGTACTAGTCCCAGTTGCTCCTCTTCCAGTCCAGCTCTCTGCTGTGGCCCAGGAAGGCAGTGAAGGATGGCCCAAGTGCTTGGGTCCCTGCACCCACATGGGAGACCAGGAGGAAGTACCTGGCTCCTGGCTTCGGACTGGTGCAGCACCGGCAAGAGCAACCATTAGGGGAGTGAACCAACGGAAGGAAGACCTTTCTCTCTGTCTCTCTCTTACTGTCTAACTCTGCCTGGAAAAAAATTTTAAAAAATTAAATTAAATTAAAAAGAAGATTATATATTTCGTGGCTAGTGCCGTGGTGCAGTAGGTTAAACCTCTGCCTGCAGTGCCGGCATCCCATATGTGTGTCAATTCTAGTCCCAGCTTCACCTTTTCCAATCCAGCTCTCTGCTGTGGCCTGGGAAAGCGGCAGAAGTTGCCCTAAGTCCTTGGGCCCCTGCACCCACATGGGAGACCGGCAAGAAGCACCTGGCTCCTGGCTTCAGATCAGCACAGCTCTGGCCGTGTGGCCACTGGGAAGTGAACTAACAGACGGAAGACCTTTCTCTCTATCTCTCCCTCTCATTGTCTGTAACTCCACCTTACAAATAAATAAACAAAAAAATCTTTAAAAAAAAAAAAAGATGATATATCTACATTTATGGGACAGGAAGTTAAACACTGACTCAGTACTGGGTGACAGTAAATAGGTTGTTTTATATATAAAAACAATATAGTTACTTTTAAAAATCCTTACCATTTACAAATACACACTGAAACATTTACATATGAAATATACATTATGTGAGGTTTCAAAATGTGGAAGGGGAAATTAAAGAGAAGTATAGATAAAACAATATTAGCCATTAATTGATCATTGCTTAAGGTGAGTAATGAATATTTGAGGATTCATAATACATGTTTGTCTACTTTTGTATATTTTTGAAAATTCCCATAACAAAAAAATTTATTTTCATCCTAGTTTGTTTCGTCAAATCTGCAGATTCTTGTACATCACTTGCTCTCCCCCACTGACAATGGCTGTGAGAGTGGAGTGGGTATGGAGAAGGGAAAATGGGGGCTTGTGTTGAGGCATACTGGGTCTAGTTTCCTGTCAACAGTGATGCCAGCATCCCATATGGGTACCAGCTGCTGCATTTCCAAAGCAGCTCTGTGCTAATGGCCTGGGAAAAGCAGCAGAAAATGGTCCAAGTACTTGGGTCCCTGCCATGCACGTGGGAGACCCGGAAGAAGCTCCTGGCTCCTGGCTTCAGCCTGCCACAGCCCTGGCCATTGCAGCCATCTGGGTAATATACCAGTGGATAGAGGATTCCTCCATTCTTTTCTGTCTCTGTCTCTTCCTCTCTCTATGTAACTATGACTTTCAAATAAATATTTTTTAAATGGAAAATGTGTATCAAAAGAGTAACCAAATAACTTATGCCCCAAGTATCACCCCAGTTTGACAAATACTGACTATGAGACAGAATTTCTACTATACATTATTACGGCAATTATTATAAAGCCTAAACATCTAATTCCACAGTATCTATAATCTGAGTGAAGCACTATAACACTGATTCTCCTCCCCAGCCATATTGGTACTTTAATATAAAATTAAATAGTAAATAGAGCTATTTACCTTTATTGGGTCCTGCTATAGTAGATCTATCTGACTGCTTAGAATGGGAAACCTCTGTTTCTGATTTTCTTCCCATAATTACTTGATTTTCAGATCTCTTGGGTTTTAAGTAAAAGACCGAAAATTTCTGCTGAATATCAAGTCCAACTGGAAAAATAAGAAAAGTATACAAATGCTTATATGAGACCACACAATTACTTTCATATCTCCTTAATTATTAAAACTTCTAGGATTAAATAGTTCAAAATATTAAAAGGATTTTAAAAAGGCTAAAACATGTGGTGAATTGGGTCAACGCTGTGGTGTAGTAGGCTAAGCTTCTGCCTTTGGCACCAGCATCCCACATGGGCACCAATTCATGTCATGGGTGCTCCTTTTCCAATCCAGCTCTCTGTTTATGGCCCGAGAAAGCAGTATAAGATGGCCCAAGTGTTTGGGTCCCTGCACCTGTGTGGAAAACCTGGAAGAAGCTCCTGCCTCCTGGCTTCCGATCAGATCAGCTCCAGCCCTTGTGGCCATTTGGGGAGTGAACCAGTGGATGAAAGATCTTTCTCTCCATCTATCCCTCTCTCTGTCTGTAACCCTACCTCTCAAATAAATAAATCTTTAAAAAAAATTAAATTTAAAAATGTGACAAATGAAAATTTATAAATCATCATCATAAAAATAAAAATCAAGAGCCTGTGTTGTGGTACAGCAGGTTAAGCCACCACCTGTTTGAGTCCTGGTTGTTGCACTTCTGATCCAGTTCCTTGTTAATGGGCTTGGGAAATCAGCATAAAATGGCCCAAATGTTGGCCCTTGACATCCATATAAGAAAGCCAAATGAAGCTTCTGGCTCCTGGCTTCAGCCTGGCCCAGTCCTGGCCATTGTGGCCATTTGGGGAGTCAATCAGAACATGGAAGTTTTATCTCTGTTTCTCTCTGTCTCTTCCTTTCTCTCTGTAACTCTGGCCTTCAAATAAATAAATATTTTTAAAAAATAAAAAATAAAAATTAATGTTCCTACAATAACTGAAATGTAACTATTTAGGAAGATTAAAATACTTATAAGCAGATAAATTGCAATTATACTGTCCTGGTTCATGCTATTTATTATATATCTAAATACTTAAACTTCTTTTAAAGTTCATTAATGTTAATCTAAATATATTATTTTTATATACTATCAGCTTTGTTATTTTTATGTTTGAGCATAAACAAAATAATTTTAAGTGATATCATATGCATTGATGTCCTCATTACTTCAATTAACTTACCAAAATCAGAACTAATTAGATTTATGCTAAGATCTTCAGATTTAAGAGCTCTCTTCACATCAATCTTTTTAGTCCAATTTCCAGTTTTTAGCAAAACAGAATCCCTGAAAAATAGTAATGTAAAATTCATTGAAGTAACATATTAATCTTCAAGGTCTAATTGCTCCTAAGATAGGTTCTCTCTCATAGTAAACTATTCCAACTACAATTTTCATAACTATAAGGGAACTTGAAAAGATTTGTGGTGAGGTGAACATTGTGGTACAGTGGGTTAGGCCATTGCTTGGCACGCCCACATCCCATATCAGAGTGCTGATTCAAGTCCTAGCTACTCTGCTTCCAATTCAGCTTCCTGCTAACATACCTTGGGAGGCAGGAGATGATAACTCAAGTGTTTGGGTCCCTGCCATCCTTGTGGGAGACCCAGATGGAGTTCCAGGCTTTTGGCTTCAGCCTGGCTCAGACCTTGCTGTTTTGGGCACTTAAGGAGTAAACCAGCAGATGTAAGATTTCTTTCTCCCTCCGCCATCCCCTTTTCTCTCTGTTGTTCTGCCTTTCAAGTGGATGAAAATAAACTTTTTTTTAAAAGTTCATGGAAAAATAGAATCAGAAGATAAGTTTATTTTAGTGAAGTATTTTAATCCATGCATAATCTTTTCATAATGTTCATTTTCCATAAACGTTTTGAAGATCACTCATATAGCAGATTACAAGTTACATTAACTCATTTAAAGTTCACCTGGTATATATAGTTGGTATAAAGAAAACACATGAGCTTGTTCATAAATTCACTACTACTGTAAACTCACTATACATAAGTTACAATAACTGGAGAGAACTATTTCAATAGTATCTTTTAAATTGATTTGAAATCATTTGTACCCAATAACATCACACAAACTAGCAACCAATTTTATGACTGAACTTATTTTAAATCACCTCCTATACTCAGGGTTATCATGAGATTTGGGATTTGGCAGTCATAGATACATACAATGCATATTCTGTAGTTATTGGAGTGCAGTTACCAGTGAAACTGGTATGCCATTAATCACTGTAGTAACATTAGGAGCCACGCATGAAGGTATCCTTCAGTATATTGACAACAATAAAAGATTCCCATTTCAGAGTCACTGTCATTTCTCAACTTTAAGTATAGTAATTTGGTTAGAAGCACAGGCCTCTGAAGTTGAAGTGCTTGGATTGAAATCTAACTAGCTACATGACCTTGGCCAAAGTGATAATGTTTTCTCTTTCTCAATTACCTCCTCTACAAAATGTGGATGATGATAGCCCCTGTCTCATATAAATATTAAAAGATTTAATATTTGATTCCTACTAAGTGTTCAAAAGCTATAGCTGATAATTATAGAATTTGCTTATGGCATCCTAGAAGAAAATCATATTTGGGAAAAAAAGTCTAAGTAAAAATGAGAGAACAGCATGCTAGAGAACTAGGTGTAACAGAGGATATTTCCTTTATATATATGATCTGGTTGCATGGATCCTAAAATGGAGCTATGGTGGTCTGTTGGATTTTAATTTGGAAATAAAGATACACATTGAGATGAGTAGGAGGAAGACTGTGCAAAGGGTAGTAAAACCATGAATGACATCATCAGAACATCAGCAAAAAAGCCTCCTAATAGTTATTTATTCACTTGTTTCAGACTTTAATAACAGACTTCATATTTTATTAATTTGAACATTAACATAACAATCTAAACAACAGACCCAATGTTAATACCTTTATTAATAAACACAGAAACTGTCCCAATTTAGTCCCAGGAAAATATAATTTCATTGATACCAAAGTGGTCTTATTACTCTTTTTTTTCAGTAGAAATTTTCTTTTACAGCATATGCTTATAAATAAAATAAAATATCAGAACTTCCATACTTACATAATTTTGTACTTAAAAACTACTTGATTATCTGCATCACCTATGATCAAGGTAGCAGAGTGAGAATCTGGTGCTGTTCTTTTAGTTTGCAGTTGTTCAAAGTTTCTTAATATAATGGTCACTAATATTTCTGCGATGGTATCATCATACCTTGCAATCTTCAAAAAAAAAAAAAAAAAAGAGGAATAACAAGTGTTAAAAATTAACCATATTACTCATACTCAGCTCTAACCCTAATTATGAAAAGACACTCAAAATATTTAGGAAACAAAAATATTTACCTGCTTTACTTCAAGTTCATATTTTGGTAGATACATTACAGTTTCTTTTATCTGAGTTCCAAATGGAGGATGTCTATTTAAAACCTAAACACAATTTTATCATTAGATTTGTACAACATTTAGGATTATTTTAGTAACAAGTTTTTAAATAAATAGCTTTAATATAATATTTATCACCTAAAACTTTGGTACAATAAAATACTTATGACTATTAAAAGGGAAATAATTTTAGTAGAAATAAAAATAAAAAAGTTAGGAATTTAGATAGAATTCAAGTAACATCATGAATAAGTGAATATTAAATACCAGTTCAAGTTCTCTTGCATCTGTTTCTTCTATTTTTTTAAAGGAAGTCAAACCTGCATTTACCATGACATTTGACAGTGTTATACCTATGGAAAAGTAATCAACCAATAATTTTTAAAATAATCTACTTTAAATAAAATCTATACTTATTTAATAACTTTAATAAAAAAGATAAAGATTCAATCAAATAACTACTTTGGCTTGGATGTGGTCTGAATGTGTGCCAGAGGCTGGGTGCTGGTGTTTATGTGGTGGAACATTTTAAGAGGTAGGACCTAGTGGAAGGTAATTGTGTCATTGAAGGCTCCACACTCATAAATAGATTAACACTGGTCTTGAGAAATAGGCTGGTCTGACAATAGTTCCTTAAGAGAATGGGCTGTTAAAAAGGCATTTCTTTCTTACCATGTCAACTCTACCACAAGTGATCCCACCGTTGTCATGCCATTGTTATAATGCACACACCACAGAGAATGCTGATGCTAAGCTCTTAAATCTCCATAACTGTGAGCTAGGTCAGCTTTTCTTTATTATGTGCCAAGCTTCAGGTGTGTTGGTTTAGCAATACAAACAGATTTATTTTGAGTTGTGACATCATTCACCTATTTGTACTTATTTTTTTAAATTGAAATAAGATACATATTTTATAAAAAAAAGAGGAATTCTATGGTCCACTTGATGACTGAATCCTTATGGTTTTACTCTAGGAGGAAACTTCAAAAACTTTACAGAAAATGAGATTAAAAATATATTTTGGTGCAAAAAAATTTGAAATGCATGATTATTTTTTCATAATATACATTTCCATAAACTCTCTGAAGACTTTGTATGCTTGAGTTCCAAAATTTTTACATCAAAATAAACTTTTTTAAATTGTTATTAGAGAGACAGAGAGCAAACATTCCCACCTACTGGGTCACTACTGCCGCCTAAAATTGCCAGAGCTGGGCCAGAGCCAAAACCAGGAGTTGGCAACCCAATCCAGGTCTCCTTATATTGATGGTAGGAACTCAACTACTGAAGCCATCACTGCTACTTCCCAGGGTCTGCATTAGCAGGAAGCTGGAATCAGGAGCTGAAGCTAGGATATAAACCCAGGTACTTTGATGTGGGATGTGTGTCCTAACTGGGATTTTTATCACTAGCCAAAAACACACCTCAAAATAAATTTATCTTTTAGTTCCATTTTTTCATAAACATTCTAAAGTACTCTCGTATGTTTTCCATAGGGTGAGCACCAAGAGATGTGTACTTTTATACTTAACATTTGAAAGACCACATGATTCACAGATGGGAATATTATTCATGAAGTTATGACTCTGTGCATTTGTTTTAGAAATATAGTTCTGGGGGCCAGTGCTGTGGCACAGTGGGTAAAGCCACTGCCTGCAGTGCTCACATCCCTTATGGATGCTGGTTTGAGTCCACGCTGCTTCACTTCCAATCCAGCTGTCTGCTATGGCCTGGGAAAGCAGTAGAAGATGCCCCAAGTCCTTGGGCCCCTGCACCCGCACGGGAGACCCAGAAGTCCTTGGCTCCTGGCTTTGGATCAGCACAGCTCCAGCCATTGCAGCCATCTGGGGAGTAAACTAGTGGATGGGAGACCTCTTTCTCTCTCTCTGCCTCTAACTCTCTGTAATTCTGCCTTTGAAATAAACAAATATTTATATTTAAAAAATATAGTTCTGTTTCTGAACTGAATCATATAATTTTATTTTTATTGTCTAAAACTTTCAATGTTTTTCCATTGCATTTAGAGGAATGTGTTAATTCCATTATAAGGGATAAATTTCCTTGCCTATAATGACTTGTCCTTAGCCTATCTCTCCCATCTAATTTCCTACTACTTCCTCCTGCTGACTGCTCTAGCCACACTGGATTTTAAATTGTTCTTTAAATATATAAAGTTAATTTTCATATTTGGATCTTTTTTGTTTTCCTTATGCTTTCACAAGGTAGAATTTAAAATTTGTATACTCTTACGAAAAAATTTATCAAAATCCTGCAATAGAAGATAGTGTCAAGAATACAAAATTCCATCTGTCTAAGGCACATGTATTAATGGTGAAGATATGATATCTTTGTTTCCATATTCATATCTATAACTATTCTTGAGAATTTCTTTTACTCATTCTTGACATAGCTTCTGGTTGCACATTTCAAGTTTCTCTCAAAATTTTGCTCTTTCAAATCTTTTAATTTATAGTCACTGTTCAAAATCAATTTGTATTCATTATTTTTTAATGAAGGTCAATAAAAACTTGCTTTTTTTGTTTGGACTTTCTTACTTTTATATTATGTAATGTTTTCTGGACAATATTTGCTTTTTTCTGTTTATCTGTACTGTACTGAGTATGTATAAAAACAGGTTAGTGTTTGCTAATCTGGAAGAGACAAAATGCAATGGATGCCTAAACTGACATAGTTTAGGAAGTCAGAAAGACTATCCTTCTTTTTTTTTTTGACATGTAGACTTATAGACAACGAGAGAGAGACACGGAGAAAGGTCTTCCTTCCATTGGTTCACTTCCCAAATGGCCACTCCAGCTGGTGCTGCACCCATCCGAAGCCAGGAGCCAGGTGCTTCCTCCTGGTCTCCCATGCAGGTACAGGGGCCCAAGCACTTGGGCCATCCTCTACTGCCCTCATGGGCCACAACAGAGAGCTGGACTGGAAGAGGAGCAACCAGAACTAGAACCTGGCACCCATATGAGATGCCGGCGCCACAGGCAGAGGATTAGCCAAGTGAGCCACGGCGCCGGCCCCGACTAGCCTTTACAATTATAATGAAATGGATTTGTAATCATTAACCTAATTTCAAAATTTTCTGTAAGTTGCTATTTTCTTAACTATTGCATGAAACCACCTTGCCAAATCAAAAGTCTTGCCTCTTACCAGCTATTTGGTGGGGTCTAACACCCCACTGATTTCAAATTTCATGGAAATAAAAAGTACAACTTCCTCTAAAAACCATTAAGAGGTACATGTGCAAAAGAATAACCAGACAATTTCTAAAGATTCATTATATAATTTTTAATGTCCCAAACATGCATATAAATAGTAAAACTACGGCCGGCACCGTGGCTCAATAGGCTAATCCTCCGCTTAGCGGCGCCGGCACACCGGGTTCTAGTCCCGGTTGGGGCGCCAGATTCTGTCCCGGTTGCCCCTCTTCCAGGCCAGCTCTCTGCTGTGGCCAGGGAGTGCAGTGGAGGGTGGCCCAAGTGCTTGGGCCCTGCACCCCATGGGAGACCAGAATAAGCACCAGGCTCCTGGCTTTGGATCAGCGCGGTGCGCTGGCCGCAGCGTGCGGGCCGCGGCAGCCATTGGAGGGTGAACCAACGGCAAAAAGGAAGACCTTTTTCTCTGTCTCTCTCTCTCACTGTCCACTCTGCCTGTGGGGGGGGGGGGGGGACACAACACTAACAAGGCTGTCAATCATAGAATAATAGGCCTGTTTTATAACTCTAACTATCTAAGATGGAGGAGAGTCACAAAGTCAGAAGTACCAAACTGCAAACTGTCGGTGTTCTTTACTCAGATCCCAGTCTTTGCAAATGATACCCAATAGTTTTTCAGTGCATACCCAACAGGCAAGAAGTCATCAAGCAATCTTTTATCTACAGAATATTTATGAAGATCAGTTTTCATATCCTACTGTTATTGAAAATAGAGTAAGGTTAAAGATACAAATAAGTGATATAATTTTCTGAAATTAATTAAGATTGGTCAGACTGCTAGCTCTGGACTGTGTCATTGAGATCAGTCATAAAAGTGGAAGAGAGGGGCTGAAATTTGACCTGTTGGTTAAGATGTTTATATCCCATACTGAAGGGCCTGTGTTTATTCTAGTTCATTCTAGCTCCTGATTCCACTTTCTGTTAATGCAGCAGATTATTGTTCAAACAGCTGGGTCCTTGTCACCCACATGGGAGACCTGGATCGTGTTTCTGACTCCCAGCTTCAGTCCCATCCTAGTCTGTTATTGCAGGCATTGGAGGATTGAACTAGCAGCTGAAAGTGTACTCTCTCTTTCCCTCTCAAATAAAATAAAAGTGAAACATACTATCACAGTTAACTAATTACTATAATAAAATTTCACCCTTGGAGCTGGTGCTGTGGTAGCATAATGAGTAAAGCCACTACCTGTGATACTGGCATCCCATATGAGTGCCCGTTCATCCAGCTGCACCACTTCTGATGTAGCTCCCTGCTAATGGCCTGGGAAAAGCAGTGGAAGATGGCCCAAGTATTTGGGCCATCTCACCCACATGAGAGACCAGGATGAGGCTCCTGGCTCCTGGCTTCAGGCTGACCCAGTCCTGGCCATTATGGCCACCTGGGGAGTCAACCAGCTGATGGAAGATCTCTCTCTGTCTCTCCCTTTCTCTCTCTCTCTGTAACTCTGACTTTCAAAATAAATAATTTTTTTTTAATTTTACCCTTGGTATTGAGAACAAATTTTAAAATGAGGGCATTAATTATTATTAATATTCTCATGCACTAATTCAGCTGATTTCAAATGGAATTCTTTAAATAGGAGCAAATGAAAGATTTTCAGAAGTACAAATATCATTTAGGCCTAGAAATGTTTTTCTTAGAGGTCTATAATCACCATAGAATAATGTTCCTAACAGTGAAATATGAAATATATTTCAAGACATTGCCAAGCTTCCTGCCCGTATCAGTACTTACCAATTTTTTCCAACTGTTTGGAAACATGCAGAGAGTTTTCCCAAAGTTTACACCTAAAACATTTAGCTAAAATTAAACTATTCAATAGGATGGTAAACTTGTTTTCCTGAGCAGCCACAAAATCTGATAACCCTAAAAAGAAAAAGTTTCCAAAATTAAATTCAACATAACAGTTTACTAGAAAAGTATTGAAAATATATTATTCCGTTAACATACATCTTGTAATTCGTGAGCCAGTTCTGAAAATTTTTGCTGTATCTTGTGTCAAAGCAAAATCTTGAAAGGGAATGCATCCTAGTTGAGCCTGAATAAGACTAGAGAAAAGACAAATTTCATTATTTTCTGTTAAAAGTTACTGTCTCACAATATTTGACATCACTGTTTGAAGTATTCTTTCTTAAAATTCCTCTCAGTCTTGATTTCTGAGATACTCCATGATTCATATATTGCACTATCATTGATATTTTCCCCCAGCCTTAAAAATTCAGTCCTTTTCCTATTTTTCTTTATTCACTCAATTTTCTTCCCCCAAATCTCATTTTTTCCCTCAGAACTTACTTATACTGTTACTTTAATCTCAATACATCTAAAATTACCATATTCTCCTCTAATACACATCTGCCTTTCAGCTCTACTGTTTCTTTCCAAGTTATTATAGGAAAATAATAAACTTTGCATTATTAATATTTATTAAGTGCCTACTAAATATGTATTAAGCTACCTGCTGGTTATCTACTTAAAGTAGGCCAGTCATAGAGTTCAGTGCTGAAGAATTTGTTCAACATATGAAGGATGGTATTAGTTTGTTATCTGAAACTAGCACTTGCTTGACTATAAAATTTGGGGGATGGTTGTAAGAGGGGTTCAAAGATGCTATTGTTTATTATGCCTACTATAGCCTAGGTTCTTTGCTATCTGTCTCTACTATTTACTTAATCTAACCAGATATTGATATGAAAATTGCCCATTTCTAACTAAAATTACTGGATATGTGTTACTCTCTTGGGGAAAGAGACATCTCTTGATAAGACAAAAACTAGTCAGGTGTTCAAACAGATATAATAGAATAGTTACACCTAATGGTTTAGTTTTAGAAGAGGATATATAAAAATAGAAAAAAGCAATCAAAATGTGTTTAAAGCTACATGGTTTATTAATAAAGATAAAACTGATGGGAAAATGTTGAAGAGATACTTTTAGATAATGGATAAATAAAACTTGTGAAGCACAAATGTGGGTTATACACAAAGTTTCTGGAGTAAGACTTTTGAACTAATATTTATATCTAACAGTAATATTTCTTTTTTTTAAAGATTTATTTCATTTATTTGAAAGTCAGAGTTACAGAGACAGGTAGAAACAGAGAGAGAGGTCTTCCATCCACTGGTTTACTCCCCAGATGGCTGCAATGGCTGGAGCTGAGCTGATCCAAAGCCAGGAGCCAGGAGCTTCCTCTAGGTCTCCCACGTGGGTGCAGGGGCTCAAGGACTTGGGCCATCTTCTACTGCTTTCCCAGGCCACAGCAGAGAGCTGGATCGGAAGTGGAGCAGCCTGGACTAGAACTGGAGCCCATATGGGATGCTGGTGCTTTAGGCCAGGGCTTTAACTCGCTGCTCCACAGCACCGGCCCCTCAGTAATATTTCTTTTAATAAATAGGACTCTTTTCAACATCATATTTCCTGTCAGAAGCCTTATTATAAAAAGCAAAAATAAAAAGGGATGAAAAGGAAAATGGGAATGTATTTCAGTAGGTACAGAACCAGAGCAGGGCTTTCTGTTTCTTTCCACCACCAAGATAAGGTGAGCATTGATGTCCTGTGATCTTACCTTCTTGAGCCTGTCCTCAGCAGAAATAGAAGCTTCACAGCCTCACGTGAGTTTGAGCACTCCTGTCATCTCAGCTAATGGGGCAGAATTATTTGGTAGTTAAGTAATAACTAAGTCATTATTGTAAGGATTAATGAGATAGGTATTGATTCAGTGGGGATTAGTTTCAACAATGATCAGATTATCTTGGTTTAAACATAAAGGTTAGATTTTTGAGTTAAGCAGGCAAAGGCTTGGTATCATGACTGTATTTCACATTCTATGAGCTCTATGAAAAACACCAGTTAAAGAAATCAGAACTAGTGCTGAAAAGGGAAGGCATAAGGGTTAAAAGCATAAAAAGGGGCCGGCACTGTGGTATAGTGGGTAAAGCTGCCGCCTGCAATGCCAGCATCCCACATGGGCACCAGTTCGAGTCCCAGCTGCTTCACTTCCGATCCAACTCTCTGCTATGGCCTGGGAAAGCAGTAGAAGATGGCCCAAGTCCTTGGGTACCTGCACCCGTGTGGGAGACCCAGAAGAAGCTCCTGGCTCCTGGCTTCAGATAAACACAGCTCTGGCCATTGAGGCCATCTGGGGAGTGAACCAGTGGATGGAAGACCTTTCTCTCTCACTGCCTCTCCTTCTCTCTGTGTAACTCTGACTTTCAAGTAAATAAATAAATCTTAAAAAAATCATACAAAATTTTTTTAAGTCTTAAATTGAAAGGGCAGAAACGTGGACAATTTAAAAATTAATATGATTAACATCTACTTGAATAACAGACCTAAAATTTTGCAAAGCAACAGGGATATGACAAAGCCATGAAAGTGGCAACTATGAGCCATCATCACCTACTGAACAACTGAAAATATATTTGTATTAATAAAAATCCCCTCCCCCCCCAATTACATACATTCTCTCTGTTTTTGGCTAAGCTTAAATAACATGCACAAAGCTGGGAAATGATAATGGCGATCTAAATTATGATATGTATAAAGCCATTAATTTTTAAATGTGACAGGCTCAATCAGAAGAATGTATTTTCCAATTTAAGGCAAAGTAACAGAAGCATTGAAATTGCAAAGAAAGTGTTCCCAAAGATTATCTTGATTTAAATTGACTCAATAATTGAAGAAACTGCAAAAAAACATTGAGAGAATCAAGAACTCCAGGTTCTAGTTTTAGCTCAGTTGCCCATATGGTAATATCTGGTCATTACTCACTTAATTTGTGAAATGAAAACACTGGGCTATAAGAAGTTTCCTATGCTCCCTGGGGATATTCAAGTTTCTGAGAAATACAGTTAAGGAACAGAATATTAACTTCTGTGATACAGGCTATAGATTCACCAGACAAATTACATACAACAGTGTGAAGGTATTAGGGATATAAAATTCAGTGAGATGTTAGGAAGGATCCCAAAGAAAGAATGACTTCCTCTAGCTAAGGAGGAAAAAATTATTTGGCTAACTGGTTTTACTGAGCAATATAAAACTATTATTTCATCATAACTTGGAACACTTAAATCAAAAGGTTCTGCCATTGGAGGGTGAACCAACAGCAAAAGGAAGACCTTTCTCTCTGTCTCTCTCTCACTGTCTACTCTGCCTGTCAAAAAATAAAAAATAAATAAAAAAAGAACCTAAGTACTCAGAAAATCAAGCACTTAGTAGAATAGAAAAGAATATCATTGTGTTTGTAATTGCAAACTGGGTAAAAGTCACAGATTTCAGAATAATTTTAGTTTACTCATCCAATTACTATTCCTCTGTATACACTTGCCAGTCTTGGCAGAAGAGTCATTCACAATATACACATTCCTTCACTCATGTTTTTGCTTACACTATTTGTCTTTTCCAGAATGCTATCACCATACAGTAGACATTCACTACATGTGTTTTCATTATTTTTATATGCACAGTTCTTATTCAGGGTAACTTGAACTATTCTGATGATGAGAAGCATAAGAAGCAGATCATCCTGCCTCAACAGAATACACTTTCAACAAATATTTATTGATAAAAAAAAAATTACTCACAATTTACCAATTTTAATTTAAAATCTGAGATTTCTTAGAAATTAATTTCACAGGGGCCAGTGTTGTGGCATAGTAGGTTAAGATCCTGCCTGTGCTGCGAGCATCCATCCCATAAGGGCACTGGTTTGTGTCCCGGCTGCTCCAATTCCAAGACAGCTCCCTACTGATGGCTTGGGAAAGCAGTGGAAGATGGCCCAAGTTCTTGGGCCCCTGCACTCTGGGAGACTGGGAAGAAGCTCCTGGCTCCTGGCTTCGGATGGGCCCAGCTTTGGCCATTGAGGCCATTTGGGGAGTGAACCAGCAGTTGGAGGAAATCTCTCTCTTGTTCTACCTCTGTGTCTCTGTAACTCTTTCAAATAAATAAATAAATAAATAAATGTTTTAAAAAATTAATTTCACACCTACTTCTGACTTCATTTACATAAATATGTTATTTTTGTATTAAATAAAAGAAATTCTGGGCTGATGCTGCAGTGCAGCAGGTAAAAGCTCCAGCCTGTAGCACCAGGATCCCTTATGGGCACTGGTTCGAGTCCCAGATGCTCCATTTCCAATCCCTGCTAATATGCCTGGGAAAGCAGCATGAGATGGCCCAAGTCCTTGGGTCCCTGCACCCACATGGGAGACCTGGAGAAAGCTCCTGGCTCTTGGCTTCAGATCAGTCCTGCTCAGGCCATTGCAGCCATTTGGGGAGTGAACCAGCAGATGGAAGATCTCTCTCTCTTTCTCTCTCTTTCTAACTCTCTCTGTAACTCAGCTTTCAAATAAATAAAGTAAAAAAAATTTTAAAAATTTAAAATGTTTTAAAACTAAAAAAAACATAAATATGAATCATGATCCAATATTTAGTATTTTAAAACACTTAAAAATTTTATTTACCAGTTTACTTTCATTTCTCTTGTTTTAATCCTTCCTTCCATTGGAAATCTGTAAACAGAAACATAGGACAAAACCTTTAGCATTATTTAACTAAATAAAACATCTTAAAATTATTTAAAACATACATAATTTCTGTACCTGATAGTTATCCGATTTGGATCTTTGTTCAAAGTATTCAGTGTTTTCTTTTCACTTATTCTTAACTGTATATCTAGAAATTCCTTGCAGCTGGCTATCATTGTGACCTATAAAATTTCAGCATTTGTTCATTTAATGAAAAGTACATTTTTTACTTCTTTCTTGTCATTCTCTTTCTTTGAAAATATTTTTGTGCTGCCTTGGGCCATCATAGATTTATTAATTAACCTAACAGAGTTAAAATCTTACACATTTTGTATATTTAAAGATTCATTTATTCACTGACAAATGTCAGAAAACCATGACATATAATGTGGTTAGATACTAGGGCTATACCAATAAGACTGTAAAGATTAACAAGACAAAATTTAAAATAGTCCAGTGCCTACTGCACAGTAATAAGCACTCAATAAATAATTGTTTTTGTTGATTCTGTTATTCATCCTGCTATAGTTTCCAAATGATTATCCCAATTGAGGCTTATTTATTAATGGAAAGAATGCTTTAGACATTAATAAACTTGCATTCTAGAGCCTTGTTCTGCTGGTAGCTGGATATGGCACTTTGTACTTTGGTTTCCCACATCTGTAAAATGGAATTAACAGTTGCTCTAATTGTCACATACTTGCTGAAGTAAAGATGTGATGTATTAAAGTTTGTATTACTTATATCTAACTCTTAATTCATTCTTAAGCATAATATTTATATGAAAATAGAAACCTTCAGCTTTTCATCAATTTTTGCTCACATGACTCCTTAACAACTGGAATCCCATTGTGCAGTTTTAAGTATAATAATCTTATCTCAATATTTTACACAAAAATGAATGGTTAAAATTTCAGAACAAATATTTTCTTTTATAAATATATTGTTTCATATTCATGTCTCCAGGAAAAGGAGAAAGGATCAATGCAGTTACCAGGCATCAACAATATGCATCTGATCTGTCCATTACTGCAGTCACAAAGTTGTTCCTACTATTCTCCATTTCTCTATTATCAGCTCTTTCTTCTGGGTTACTATCAATACTATTCTATTTCCACTGCTATTGATATTTGGATGCGAAAGACTTAGAATTACTGCCAATATATGGCACACATGCTGCAACTCCTTGTCCTTCATTGATGGCAGATATCCTAATCTATCAAGCCACATTGTCTGGGATCTTTTGCACATATTACACTGCCAAGGTAATCAGCATTATTGTGTATATTGTAAGGTAGTTGTCATAGCTACTTTGGGTATGTATGTAAATTTTCTTAGCTATGATGAAATAGAACTGAAAATATAATATTTTCAGAGGTACACTAGGGAAGATATAAGTATTATAATAATGCTTTCCTTTCTGCTCATTCTTAAATTATATGAGATATAATATTGTTGTTTCACCAATATTATTTTATACTATATCTTTATTTATTTTCTAGTGAAAATTAATTTACCAGATCTGATAAAGTTTCTCTTCCATTGATTTTATGAAATTTCTTCACTGTGTCAAATGTAATATAATACCAAGCCATCAATCTTCCTGCCTCTGTGAGAATAAAAACATTCCTTCCATTAGCTGAAAGAAGTTGTTTTTTAATCAGTTTAACAAACACTTCCTTAATATCTACTTTGTGTCTTTAATGATACCAGGCACAAATGACACACCAAAAAAAATGTAGAAGACACAATCTTCAGAATTTATAAATTGGTTAGAGAGATAACCACATGGGAAATCATTAACAAAATTCAGTGAATGGTAACATTTACATATAAACTTAAGTAGGGAGGAAACTGGTCAGACTTGGTTAGAATTCTTGTTCCTTCATTTATCATGTTAGCAGATGATCACATACAAATTATTTTACCAATTTCTCAAGGCAATGTGAAGTTTTTTTGAAGAAGATTAAATGCAATTCAAAAATACATATATAGTACTTGGCATAGTGCCTAATGTTTAATAAATGTTGTCTACTTTTATTTCTAAAACCTGACAGAGACATGACAGGGTTTTGAAATGCTATTTAAAAAAGTTTAGGGGCTAGCCGGCGCCGTGGCTCAATAGGCTAATCCTCCACCTTGCGGCGCCGGCACACCGGGTTCTAGTCCCGGTTGGGGCGCCGGATTCTGTCCCGGTTGCCCCTCTTCCAGGCCAGCTCTCTGCTATGGCCAGGGAGTGCAGTGGAGGATGGCCCAGGTGCTTGGGCCCTGCACCCCATGGGAGACCAGGAAAAGCACCTGGCTCCTGGCTCCTGCCAGGATCAGCGCGGTGCGCCGGCTGCAGCGGCGGCCATTGGAGGGTGAACCAACGGCAAAGGAAGACCTTTCTCTCTGTCTCTCTCTCTCACTGTCCACTCTGCCTGTCAATAGGATAAAAAAAAAAAATACAAAAAGTTTAGGGGCCGGTGTTGTGACTTAACAGATTAAGCCTTTACCTGCAATGCCAGCATCTAATATGGGCACTGGTTGGAGTCCCAGCTGCTCCACTTCCAATCCAGCTCCCTGCTAATACACCTGAGAAAGCAACTGAGGATGGCCCAAGTCCAGACCCAGAAGAAGCTGCTCCTGGTTCAGCCTGGGCCAGCCCTGGCTTTGTGGTCATTTGGGGAGTGAACCAATAGATGGAAGATCTATCTCCCTTTCTCTTTTTCTTTCTCTTTCTCTTTCTCTCTCTCTCTTTTCTCTGTAACTCTGCCTTTCAAATAAATAAAATAAATCTTTTTTTTTTTAAAAGAAGTTTAGACTTTGGAACTGATTTGTAAAATGACAGAGGACCACTTAAGATTCTTGAGCAATATTTTAATTAAACTTGTTTGAAAATAAACTGTTTCTTAAATCAGTAGGAGATTGGTTGGGGATGGGAGATGGGAGAGTGGAGGTGAGTAATTGATGGAATGGAATTCATTCAAGACATTACTGGATTCAACTATAAGTTATCTAGAAACATTCCAAAGAATTTTAAGCCCTGTGAGCATACACAGAAAACAGCTGTGAGAGGAAAGTGGCATATCATTCCTCAAGGAAAGGGCTAACATTTATATATGTGTCAACATCTATGGCATTCCAACTGAGTACTAGAAATCAAGTACATGGTACAACAGATAGACCTAGCCATCAGAAAGTAAAAAGGAGATATGCCAGCTGTAAGGCTACTTTCTTAATCAGGAGCCTGTTGAATATATTTAGCCTAATTATGAGTAAAATGGTGAGTCATAAAAAGAAGTTTCTGAGAAAAGTATGTGAGATGTTAGGGAACTAGCATGCCTTTAGGGTATTTTTTTTGAAAGATTTATTTATTTATTTATTAGAAAGGCAGAGGCAGAGAGAGAGAGAGGTCTTCCATCTGCTGGTTCACTCCTCAGATTGCCACAATGGCCGGAGCTGTGCTGATCCGAAGCCAGGAGCCACAAGCTTCTTCCAGGTCTCCCATGCAGGTGCAGGGGCCCAAGCACTTGAGCCATCTTCCACTGCTTTCCCAGGCCACAGTAGAGAGCTGGATCGGAAGAGGAGCAGCCAGGACTTGAATCAGAGCCCATATGCAGGCAGTGGCTTTACCTGCTGTGTCACAGTGCCACCCCATACCTTTAGAGTATTTTTAAGGATGGCCTTCAAACTCTACATATTTATAAATGAAGATAATGAAAATGAAAGGTTTTAAGATAATATCTGACACTTGCTGGCTTACTAGCAAGGATGAAGTTTTCTTAGGTAAGTTTAAAAAAATAAGCTAGGAAGGAAACCATGAATAAAATTAATCAAAGCAGGAGAATGGAAAGAAATAAAAAAAAAGATTTGCAAGTAAAGAGAAGAAATAAAGAGTTAACTTACTATCAATACATTGAATGATACATATTCTCATAGTAACAAATTCAGGATATTTCAAAGTAAAGGCTATAAAGTTGAGTTGCGGAGGGAGTACATGGAGACCATGAAAATATATTTTTCATTTGGTGATTTACTGCCCCAGCTGTTGTGCTCTGAATCCATCACTATGGAATTCCCAACAAGATCACAATTTCATGAGATGCTCCCAATCAATGACTGAGCATGGCAGGGATACTAAGCTTGACCTATTAGATAAAGTAGTCCCCTGGCAGGTAATTTTGGTTTGAAGATTTTCAATCAGCTTTGCCAAATGTTCTTACAATTGCACTGTTCACTAAGATTTTCCTTCTTTCCTTCCATTTTTTTCCCTCCCCACCTTCCTTCTCTCCCTCTCATTCAAAGATCTATATCCCAATTTAACCACTCTCCCAGAGTCTTGCAGTTATTACCTATTTTAAGGAGGGTAACCTTTCTTAGATTTACAACAGCTTTGGTCTTTTGAGCCCTTCTCCCAACACACATTACCAGAAACAATTAAAAACCTTGATATGAACCAATGAAAAAAACTAGATATACAAGTATTATGGACCACAAACCAAAAAGCAAAAATTGTATTAAGCAGAATTATGGGAATATACAAAGAATTTCTATGTAAAAACTAAAATCAAAGAGATAAATGTTAGTAACATAAAGAAACAGTAAGTCATAAAAAAGAATTCATTGGAAATACTATGTAAGAAACTTCCACCTACATTAATGGTAAGCGAAGTAATTATGAAACAATCCTTCTGCTGAAGGCAACAAAAAAAACTAAATGAAATACAAATATCTTCTTTAAAGCATCAAAGAACTGATGCAATATTATAAGAGAGGGCTTCAATACAAAGGGATTAAAATAAAAATTTTCAGGTTTTACTTCTAAAAATTGAGGTTTGCAGATCTAGATGGGATTAATTGTATTTTAAGATTTATTTATTTGAAAGGCAGAGGGACAGAGAGAAGGAAAGAAAAAGAGAGAAAGAGAGGAAAAGAGAGATAGAGAGAGAATCTTCTATCCACTGGTTCACTCCCCAAATGGCCACGATGACCTCGGCTGGTTCAAGTCAAAGCCATGAGCCTGAAATTCCATCCTAGTCTCCACATGTGTGGCAGGGGCCCAAGTACTTGGGTGATAATTCTCTGCTTTCCCAGACACATTACTAGGGGGCTGGAGAGGAAAGGAAGCAGCTAGAACTTGAACAGCATCAGGTATGGGGTGCAGGTGTCACAAACGGTGATTTAACCTGCTGCATCACAATGCCAGCCCCATCATTTAACTGTATTTTTAACATAACAGTGTGGTGGAATGAGAGGGTCATGCCAAGGTGGCCACTGGCAAGCGAGCATTAGTTACTCAGGAATGGCTTTGGAAACTGCCTGGCAGGCTGTGATTGGATGGGGCATAGACCGCCCCTTGACCAGATTGGCTGGTCTTGGCTATGTAAGATGTAGTTTCAACTGAAATAAATGAGTCTGCCGGCTGCTCGCCTCAAGCCTGCTTTCACCCGACTCCCGGGGTCTGCGTGGTGACTCCACACCTCTTGCCCCCACCACGCTGTTCCTCTCAGAAACGAATCCACTGCAACATTGTTGAGAAATCAAGGACAACATAACAGTACCCTCAATTGATTTTTATAGCAAGTAGTCACCTCTAAGAATCATCATCCTAGTATGTGACAAGAAATATTTTTAGCTTAATATCAGACTGTCCTTTTGGTATTTGATGATTGCCTAGATATGGAATGACTAAAAATGAAGGAGAAACCAAGAATATCAAGTATTTTATGATCATCTTAGGCTTAGCAAAAATGCTAATGAGAAAAACAGGCAAATAAAGGAAATTTTCATAGCCTTGGATAAAAATAGCAACAATAACTGTTACAGTAAAATTCTTTAAATTCATTATTCCATTTGATCATAACACTACAAGGAGGTAAATAGGACACCTAGTATGTTCTTGTTTTTCAGATGAAAAAACTAATGTTCACTTAGCATAAAGGTCACATGTAGCAACTAGTAGAACTGGGACTGAAATCCAGTATTTGGGATCCAGATTCTATTGGCACTCCACTTTACAGTATCCCAGGCCAAATTAACATGATTCTGGGTAACAAGTTTCATATCATATATCTAAATAAAGATCTGTAATAGAAAATTTTGCAGGAAATGTAGGAGACCAGTGTCAAAACTACAATTTTGAATTCATGTACATATAGCTACACCTGTGAAGGTAAATTGTTTTTCCAAAGAAAGGAGCATAAATTTGGGATAAAGTTTCCTAGATGTGAAACTTCAAGAAGCCCATAGTAAGTGAAACAGGTCAATTGGAGGATTGATTCAAAAAACTGAAGAACCAAAATAGTAGAGTGCTAAAGAGAAAAATCAATCAGGTAGCATTCACTGATGACTGACAAAGAAGAAAACACACATACAGATCATTTGTTAGGTATGTTTGAAGACAGAGGAGGGATGAGTAATGTGGCACAGTGGATTAAGCTGCTGGTTGGGATGCCGGCATCCCATACTGGAGTCTCTGGGATCAAGTCCTGCCTCCATTTCTGATCTAGCTTTCCAATAATACACACCCTGGGAGGGCAGCAGGTGATGGCTAAAGTGCTTGAATCTCTGACACCCGCATAAGAGACCTGGACAGAGTTCCTGGCTCCTGGCTTCAGCCTAGCACAACCTTAGCTGTTGTGGGCATCTGGGGAGTGAACCAGCAAACAGGTTTCTTTTCCACCCTTCCTTCCTCCCTTCCTCCCTTCCCATCCCTTCCCTTTCCCCTTCCTTCCTTCCTTCCTTCCTTCCTTCCTTCCTTCCTTCCTTCCTTCCTTCCTTCTTCTTACTCTCTCTCCCCTCCCCCTCCCCTAGCAAACAGAAGACTCTCTCTCTCTCCCTTTCTTTTCTTTTCTCCCTCCCTCTCTCTCTCCCTCCCTCTCTCTCTCCTCTCCTTCCCCTCTCCCCCTAATCCCCCTACCTTTCAAGTATACAAAAATAAACTTCTTTAAAAAGCAGAAAGAATGGTATCAGTGGATTCAAAAAGTATCACAGGGGAAAAAAATGATAGTGGATACAAGATTCTTGATGGAAGTGAAAGTACCCAAGAACAGAGGAAGAAGGTATATTAGTGATTCTCATGCCTTCTCTAGTGAGACATCCTAGAATACACAGGAGGCAATTCTCACAAACAACATTAGAGTTATCAGAGTAATAACTAGAAAAGTAGGGGGAAATGTTATTGATATATGGGCTGAGAGTCTGGGCAGTAAATTGCTTTCAAAATTTTCAAAAACCTTATATCAAGTAGAAATAAAAATCACAACCCCAAATCATACATATCTATAGTATGGTTGCAAGTATACAAAAAATACATTAAATATTGAAGGATACATGCTAAAAGTTTAATAGATTCTGAATTTCAAAAACACTTTTCTGTATTTCCCAACTTTTACTTGATAAAGTACCTTTTTAAAAGGATTAATTGAAAGAATTAAGTCAGCATTTTCCTGAAAAACACTTCTAATTATTAGTGCTAAAAACTACAAAACATTATTCCCTTCATTTAGTATACTCAATTAAAACAGCAGGGGTGGAGGGAGAAAGAGAGAGAAAAGAGAAAAGGAGTGGCAAGGTTCAGGAAACTTTACTCCAAAATACTGCATTTTGACATAAATATTTTGAGCTGAAGGAATTTGAGAACTGTCATTTTTTTTTTTTTTTGACAGGCAGAGTGGACAGTGAGAGAGAGAGACAGAGAGAAAGGTCTTCCTTTGCCGTTGGTTCACCCTCCAATGGCCGCCGCGGCCGGCGCGCTGCGGCCGGCGCACCGCGCTGATCCGATGGCAGGAGCCAGGAGCCAGGTGCTTATCCTGGTCTCCCATGGGGTGCAGGGCCCAAGCACCTGGGCCATCCTCCACTGCACTCCCTGGCCACAGCAGAGGGCTGGCCTGGAAGAGGGGCAACCGGGACAGAATCCGGCGCCCCGACCGGGACTAGAACCCGGTGTGCCGGCGCCGCTAGGCGGAGGATTAGCCTAGTGAGCCGCGGCGCCGGCCTGAACTGTCATGTTTAAGAAGGACTATCTGATCTTCCCCTGGGAGTAGGTCATAAAATCTCCCCTAAATCTGGAAGAAACTGTATCATTATCTCCAAAGACAAAGGACATAGACAGAAATCTGAATGAGATTTAGCTTGCTAGGTTTCCCTCAGTTTATTACATTTAGCTCACATCTCTTTGTCCCATATTCCTCTGACTTGCCACCCTCCATCAAACTTAACGATAAAACAATCATAATTAACCACTTCTTTGGGTCTTTATTTTGAAGGATCTCATGTCATTAGATAAATTGTTGTGCTTAATCTTGTTAGTTTTTTGTTAAAGAGACCCAGCTAATGGACCTAAAATGAGTAGAAGGGAAATTTATATTTCTTCCCCTACAGGAGCCTAAGTAACCATCCAGATATCCAATGTTTGAATATTTAAGAATTAACAAAAAGATACCTATTAATTACAACAGGTATAAAGCAACCCAAGATTCAAGCGTTTCAATCCTCTACTAAAAATTACCAGAATCAATGAAGACAAATTTTGTGACTGTCAAAAATAAGCTCCATACTTTCATATACAGAACTCAAGTAAATGTATTATGCCTTGCAGCTAAACATGATGACACCTTCTTTAGAGTGTAATTATAATTTAGTTTTACCATCATCAAAATTGTAGAACATATTTTTAATTTATTCTTCAGTAAGCAATCATTAAATTTGTTAATAATTATAGAAAAATTACCAGTTGGTTTGAAAGTAACATCTTCATCCATCTTTATCAAGTCCAGGGATGATAAATCATTCAGATTCTTCAAACATAATTCTGTTCAATTATAGAAAATACATTTTAATTCTAGTAAGATAAGAAAGCAAGGCAGAATAAATTTATTATTAAATATGCTAATGTGTTTCTGTATAATTGTTCTAGAAAGAACCACCATCCCTACTTAAGTGATAAGAAAAAAATTCATTAAAAGGCCAACTAATATGCTAAAAAGATTTTCTAATACTAACAACAACATCAGTATTAAAAATTATATTCAATAAGTAATGAAAGTAACTTGGAACATTTTAAATGATATTTCATGTAATATCTTATTTAATCCTCAAAGTAACACAATAAGGTCAACATTAATATTTTCATATATAGGTCAGTAAACTAAGTAACTTGCTCCAGGTCTAAGTAACTGCTTTGCCGACTGTCCTTCATTATGATAACAGTTTGCTTTTTCTTTAAGTTCCTATCTGAGAGATAAATGCATAAAGTATGACAAGCCAAATAGACTTATAAGAGTGTTCCAAAAAACATTAGTTTCTTCCCTTTTCCTCATTTGCCACTTTCTGGAGGCAATCACTTATAACTGTTTCAGCTGATGTTTTTTAATATTTACTTTCATCTCTCTGAGTATACCACCATTGGTACCTGTAAGGAACTTCTGAATAGAATCACTAATTGATGAAGATCACAGAAATTGTAGCCGGATGCTTATAGTTCTCCCTCTATCCCATGTTACAGTCTAGGAGATGTGAGGTACTTCACAGCAGCCAGTGGGAATACTACAACTTGTTCAATACTAAACAGTTGCTTACAAAAAGATCCTAGGGCCGGCACCGCGGCTCACTAGGCTAATCCTCCACCTTGCGGCGCCAGCACACCGGGTTCTAGTCGGTCGGGGCGCCGGATTCTGTCCCGGTTGCCCCTCTTCCAGGCCAGCTCTCTGCTGTGGCCAGGGAGTGCAGTGGAGGATGGCCCAAGTGCTTGGGCCCTGCACCCGCATGGGAGACCAGGAGAAGCACCTGGCTCCTGCCATCAGATCAGCGAGGTGCGCTGGCCGCGGTGGCCATTGGAGGGTGAACCAACAGCAAAAGGAAGACCTTTCTCTCTGTCTCTCTCTCACTGTCCACTCTGCCTGTCAAAAAAAAAAAAAAAAAAAAAAAAAGATCCTAAGATAGGTGGGTGTTTGTTGCAGTGTTTGTATCACCACTTGGGAAGGTTCACTCCCACATCAGAGTGCCTGGTTCTGAGTCCTGACTACTCTGCTTCTGATCCAGCTTCTTGATAACACATACCCTGGCAGACAGTAAGTGCAGGCCCAAGTACTTAGATCCCTGCCACCCATGTGGAAGACCCAGACTGAGTTCTGGCCTCCTGGCTTCAGCCTGATCTTGCCCTGGTTGTTTTGTAAATTTTGGGAGTGGACCAGTGGATGGACTCTCTCTTGCACTCGCTCGCTCTCACTCTCGCTCTCGCGCACGCTCTCTCTCCCCGTGCTTTCAAATAAAACAAAAATAAATTTTAAAAAAATTTAAACCCATAGAAGGCAGGGTCCTTTCAGAAATACTTTAGCTTAATGAATTAGTTTTGCTCTGATTTTTTTAGTTACCCACTGTTAAGTCAGTTCATCAGCTACTATTCTGTCAGCTGATCCATCAATGAGGAATACTTACTATATTTCATGCTGAACACTAAACTCTAGTTTTATAGCAGTGAATCATAAAAGATTCTTATTCTATGGAACCTATATTTTACTAAAAAAGCAATCAGCTCACAAATATAACATTTTTATTCAAAGGTACTAAGAAAAAAATAAACCTGAGAAAAACCCCTAGAGAATGATGGGGTAGTTTTTTAAGCTTTTAACTAAATACAATAATTATTTTTGATCTATGCTACATTTCTAATATAAAGTATGATATGTTTTTTCCAATTTTTAAGATTTTATTTATTTATTTGACAGGTAGAGTTATAGACAGTGAGAGAGACAGAAAGAAAGGTCTTCCTTCCGTTGGTTCACTCCCCAAATGACTGTAACGGCCAGAGCTGCGCTGATTCAAAGCCAGGAGCCAGGTGCTTCTTCCTGGTCACCCATGTTGGTGCAGAGGCCCAAGCAATTGGGCCATCTTTTACTGCTATCCCAGGCCACAGCAGAGAGCTGGGCTGGAAGAGGAACATCGGGACTAGAACCAGCGTCCATATGGGATGCTGATGCTGCAGATGGAGGATTAACCTACTGTGTCACAGTGCTGGCCCCAACTTTTTCCAATTTTTAAAGTAAAGACATGACTTTTTCTAAACAAGGAAAACAGAAACAGTACAATAGAAACAAATTTGTCTTCCTCTTGGTAAAAGAGAATTTAAATAAGATAGTATATGAACTCTGAACAGAGACCTGAATGAAATGAAGGTGCTAGCCATGCAAGAGATTTAAGAAGCCTTCCAACAATAAGGAACAGAGAAGTGGGAAAAAGCTTGGTACATTTAAAGAGGATCAAGATAGCAAATCTGGTGAGAGCCAAGTAGAAGAGGGGGAAAGTGACAAGAGAATTTCACTGTTGCATCCTTATCTCTTTTTTTAAAAATTTTTCCATAAATATGTAGAGAATATATTAAAAGTGCCTGCATATTTTTAGTTCATCACATTTTTTTTTACTGGAAGATAATCTCAACACAAGAAAGAGGTAGCAATTTCTAATCTTAATAAATGTTTAACAATATGTTGCTACTTTAAGACAGGTAAATCTAAGTGATTAACTGAATAAGAAGTCTATAAGCTAGGCTTATATTTTTAATTAAAATTAAACTAGAAAAGAAAAATAAAGAATTTGCACCAATAGGCAACAGTTTCAAAGACCAAAATCATTTTTTTAAAAAAGATTTATTTTATTTATTTGAAAGACAGAGTTACAGAGAGAGGTAGAGACAGAGAGGTCTTCCATCTGCTGGTTCACTCCCCAGATGGCCACAACAGCCAGAGCTGCACTGATCTGAAGCCAGGAGCCAGAAGCTTCTTCCAGGTCTCCCACGTGGGTGCAGGGGCCCAAGGTCTTGGGCCATCTTCTACTGCTCTCCCAGGCCATAAAAGAGAACTGGATTAAAAGTGAACCAGCCGGGACCAGAACTGGCGCCCATATGGGATGCCAGCGCTTCAGGCCAGGGCTTTAACCCACTGTGCCACAGTGCTGGCCCCAAAGACCAAGATCATTTTAAAAAGAAAAAGTAGAGGTAGGCACTTGCCCTAGCAGTTGATACTTATTAAGATGCCCACACCCAAATAGGAGTGATTAGGTTCAAGTCCTGACTCTGGCCCCAGATTTCAGCTTCTTGCCAATGAGCACCCAGGGGAAGCAACAGGTAATAGCTCGAATAGTTGGGTCTCTGCCACACACATGCTCCTAGCTTCTGCCCAGCCCAACCATGGGTATTGTGGGTATTTAAGGAGTAAAATAGTGAATGGGAACTCTCTGTCTCTGTCTCTTGAATAAGTAGATAAAAACAAAAAGCAAATAAATAGTTAAGATGTTATACAAAGGAAAATATTCTGATAGATTACATCAGAAAAATTCATGACAAGCTTTATGTGTGAAAAAGAAAATTCATACTTTTTTTCTGTAGACAAGTTTACTTTTTAAAAAATAGCTTAAAAGAGACTTATTTTTATTTTCATAACTGGCCTTTTTCATTGATTTTTTTAGAAGGAAATGCATCTAACCTTGTAATTTTTCTTCAATTCCATCTTTATTCAATCCAGATGTAAAACCTGTATAAGTCATGAAAATGTATAAAAAATAAATAGAATGGATTTAATTTATTTTTATGGGCTAAGTTCACACAACAGTTATAAAGAGAAGAATAACTAATTAAATCTCATTTAGGAAAAAAATAGCTTGTTGAGTTAAAGCAAGGCTTAAGTAGCTATAGAAAACAATCACTGTTTTAAAATCCTTTAACAGCATCTGGCTACCTTTTGCTTGTTTTATTGTGTAACAGTGACCAGGAATACTATAGTTTAACAAGAATTGTCTGAAGTAAATTCCTAATATTTTTGCATCATAAATTTTTGTCAAGTTATTAACATTTTCTAATGTACTTTCATTATAAGATAGATACTCTTATGAATACTAAAAGGCATTTGGTAATATAACCATTTTGAAAAACCGTGCTGTTTTCTAAAGTTGAAACTATACATACCCTATAACAATTATTTTTCAGCTCTTGGCATATATTCACAGATACATACGTACGTGTGTATAGAAGGACATATATAAAAAAATTTACACAAGCATTATTTAAAATTAAAAACTTCCTTTCATAAAAAATTCCTTAAGAAAGTAAAAACTCAAGCCACTGACTGAGAAGAGATTTGGATACATCTATATACTTGACAAAAGACTCTTATCCAGAATATATAAAAAATTTCTATATACTATTGCCTAAAATAGAAATAACATAATTTAAAAATGTATAAAAGACATCAAAGAACACTTAACAAAACTTCCAAATGGCCAGAAAACATATGAAATGATCCTTAATGTTAATGCTCATCAGAGTAATACCAAATGAAATAACAAAGAAATCACTATACACACACACATACACACACACACACATACACAAAACAATGGCTGAAAATAAAGACTGACAAATCAGCCACTGGCAAAAATATATAGCAACTGGGGCCAGTGTTGTGGTATAGTGGGTAAAGCCACCTCCTGCAGTGCCAGCATCCCATATGGGTGCTGGTTCAAGTCCCATATACCTTGCTTCTGATCCAGCTCCCTGCTAATGTGGCAGGGAAATGGTTCAAGTACTTGGGTCTCTGCCACTCATGTGGCAGACAGGGTGGCAGACAAGGACGGAGTTCCTGGTTCCTGGCCCAGCCCTGACTATTGTGGTTATTTGGAGAATGAACCAGCAGATGGACTCTCTGTCTCTCTCCATCTTTTTTTCTCTCTCTTTCAAATAAATATTTTAAAAATAAACATAGTATGACATAATTTATGTTTAAAAAATAGAAAAATAACATTAAATTTTCTTATTTGCAAAAACAGTGGAAGATTATACCAAAAAGGGCATATTGCCTAGTCAAAAGATAATTGTTAAATGATACGGACATTTATATAGATATTCTTTTTTTTAAAAAAAAGATTTATTTATTTTACTTGAAAGTCAGAGTTACACAGAGAGAGGAGAGGCAGAGAGAGAGACAGAGAGAGGTCTTCCATCCAATGGTTCACTCCCCAATTGGCCTCAACGGCCAGAGCAGCACTGATCCAAAGCCAGGAGCCTCCTCCAGGTCTCCCATGCGGGTGCAGGGGCCCAAGGACTTGAGTCATCTTCTTGTGCCTTCCCAGGCCACAGTAGAGAGCTGGACAGGAAGTAGAGCAGCTGGGTCTTGAACAGGCGCCCATATGGGATGCCAGCACTTCAGGCCAGGGCGTTAACCTGCTGAGCCATAGCGCCGGCCCCTAGATATTTTTTTTAATAAAGGCTAATATAATCCTTGGAGATCTGAAAGTTGTAAACTTATATGTATTAGAATAATATTGTAAGGAGTCAGTTTTAATGTCCAGCAATCCCAAGTATTTTGATTTTCTAACCTATACCACATGGAAAAACCCTCTAGAAGTAACAGATGTATGTTTACTTTAGAACTAGAAGCAAATGTAGTACTATATATTTTGATTTCTTATAAACTAAAAAATGAACAGTCACAAAATCAGAATAAGAAAATAGCTAAACACCAGTACAGACAGAATTCCAGACTTTTAAAGACTTTAACATATTTTAAGTGATTTTTTTTGTTATTTTTAGTACACTTGAATTTTTTTCTACCAGGTCTATTTTTAATGGTGCAAGACAAGACACAAAAAGGATAAAGATTTTTCACTTATATCTACTCTTGCCTCTAAATCTATTTGTGACTATTCTTACCATTTTTTCTGTTACCTATTAGTTCCTATTTTCTACTCTATAACCTACTAATATAAATTTGGACCCAGCTGACTTGAAAAAGTTCTCCTTTCCCAAGTCAAAGTAACAAACCATAATGAGATGGATTTTTCAAGGCTCTGATATAAAGCAAGGTTGATCGTATCCATTCCAAAGCAATATTCACATCTGTGATGGTGTGTAATACTATCTCGGCATTTAAATGTTCAATGAGATGTCTGTGCAAACTAATGGGGAAAAAAATTTGTATTACTAATATGCACTTCAATGCCATAATTCTTATTTATTAACTTTAACAATATATAATATATTCATTGCTATTTTAAAAATTCATGAAAGATAATAATTTTCAAAAATACAACAAAAAACTTTAATAACTCAACTCAACTTTGCTTTTTCAATTTGAGATTTATCTATTTCATTGGTCCAGAAGACAGATTATTGCTTAAGAAAGGCTGGAGAGTAAATTATATCCTATTTTCTTCAAGAGAAAATACATCAAATTTTTCAGTAAAAGGTCACAGATTGCCTTTCTCTCTTATTAGTAAACAAATTTTAAAGATGTGAAAAGATATGAAAGTTGTATTTCTTCCTATAACAAACTAGTGACTTCAAATTTACATGATTTCATACCTAAGTTATAATATAATTAGTAAGGACTTATTAGAAATTAGGCCTTTTTGAACAAAGATACATGCTACTACACTCTAAGAAACACTAGTAAATAAAACTACTCTGATTTTTTTTTAAAAAGAACAATTATATTCCTTAAAAGGACACAAACTTCTTAAATCGTTAAAAAATATCAAGAAAATAACCTCAGAAAATCCCCAAATTTCCTTCCAAAATAAAAGTGGAAAAAGTAGATTATATTAGCATTATCTTTTAGAAATTTTTCTGTATTACCTGCTTTCTACAGTGTCATTGCAAGCTAACATTTCAATGTACTTGTCTCTTGTACTTAATCGAGTCATAATAACTGCCGTAGCTGTAGTGTCAAACTGAAAAGAAACACACAGAAAATTATTAAAGAAGAGCACATTTTGGCACTAGTCTTAATAATGCAAGACTTTCATTACAACAAATAGTCCCTTTGCCTTAAATAATAGGTCAAAAGGCCCAGAAAATGCTTCTGCCTTTGAATTTAACTGAAAATTTAATTTAAAAAACTGAATATGCTTATAAAATCACCATGGTTTCAATGTACATAATTTTGGCAATGTCAAAACTTAAATAAACCTTGTAATTGGATAAAGTTGTAAGATTTGGTGTAATTGACATGTTAGATTTATTCTTAAAACTATAAATTTGTATAAAATAATATTTTCGCATTCTTTGAAAAGATGTTCTTCCTGAATGTTCCCTTAGCATCTTTATAAATGACTTCCTCATTCAAGAATTTGTCAGAGTATGGTTTTGTAATTTACAAGTATATAGGCTGACTTCTAACTGTCACAATGCCCAGGGATTATTGAAATTTAGTGCTAGGATTCAAAGAAGTTACATGTTATATGATGCACAAGACACTCCTACACAATGAAAGACTGTCCATCCAAAATGCCAAGAGAAACCCTTTTAAGAATAAAAGACAGGGCCGATGCTGTGGCGCAGCAGGTTAATGCCCTGGCCTGAAGCGCTGGCATCCCATATGGGTGCCTGTTCAAGACCCAGCTGCTCTACTTCCTGTCCAGCTCTCTACTGTGGCCTGGGAAGGCACAAGAAGATGACTCAAGTCCTTGGGCCCCTGCACCCGCATGGGAGACCTGGAGGAGGCTCCTGGCTTTGGATCAGTGCTGCTCTGGCCGTTGAGGCCAATTGGGGAGTGAACCATTGGATGGAAGACCTCTCTCTGTCTCTCTCTCTGCCTCTCCTCTCTCTGTGTAACTCTTTCAAGTAAAATAAATAAATCTTTTTTTAAAAAAAGAATAAAAGCCAAGGGACCGGTTGTGGCATAGGGGGTAAAACCACCACCTGCAGTGCCAGCATCACATATGGGCTCCGGTTCGAGTCCCTGCTGCTCCACTAATCTAAGTATAAAATACAAATTTTAAGCATACACTTTTTTATTTTTACCAAATATTATAAAATAAGTTACAAAAAGTAAAGTTACTGTCACTTACTTGAGGTCGACCAGCTCTACCAATCATCTGCAGAATATCTGTTTCACTATACTCTTCAAACATTCCTCCAGCATAATGCATTGTAGATTTTATAACAACTAGGTGAGCAGGCAAATTTACTCCCATGGCTAAAGTACTGGTAGTAACTGCATTGAGAAATATTAATACAAACCCATATAACTTTATTATTTCAGAAAGATATTTTCTTATAAAAGACATATTCCTAAATGCAATAAAATCTCATATATGAGAAATTAAGAAAAGAAAAAGAGAACACTATTATCTAAAATAATAAAATATCTTAGAACCAAAAAAACTGTTAATTTATTACTTTTTTTTCTTTTGAAAAAGTTTACTAACATTTTATGAAGCATTTGTTTTGAAGACTAAGTTTTGAAAGCCAAACCAATCAAACACGAGTAAAGTTTTGTAATGAAAATCTCAAATAAATCATTTTAATACCTTTTTCTCATGGGATGACAACAGCATTATAATACTTTCTTATTTTTATTAAAATTGGCTCTTTTCAGATTAGTAGTAGCAAGTTCTGATTTTTAGTACAGATTGTGCATCTCTTATTTGAAATACTTGGGACCAGAAGTATTTTGGGTTCCAGGTTTTTCTGAATTTTCTAGTAGTTGCACAAGCATAATGAGATATCACAGGGATGGGAACCAAGCCTAAATATGAACTTCATTTAGGTTTTATCAAACTTTACAGGATGTGTAACAACAGTGTCACGATGTCCTACTTGAGACACTGTTGGCACTGACAAGGCTTCATATTTTGCAGTGTTTAGGATTTCAGATTAGGGATGCTCAAACTGTACTGTGTTAATGCAAGAGAGAAACATAATAATTTCTATTTATTTTTAAATTTCCTATGAACTATTTTCTAGTAAAAAAACTGTTTGGTATTAAGTGTTTTTATGCTCAAATTTTAAAAGTAACCTTAGCCCTCAGCTGAACTTTGTGCTCCCAGGCATTTATATCTTAGGGACATTCACACAGTAAATGTCATTTCAGTCACTGAGCTCTTCCTCATCACTGAAGTATGTGCTTTTCTTTATCCTCAGATGTGGAGGGACCCCCTGGACCGGGTGTCCATTTGCTTTGTTCTTCAGGTTTGGCTTGCTGGAAGGCAATGGCCTGGCTGAGGCTGCCCAGAGCAGGCTCTTCCCTTTCATCTTCACTTTGTTCTACTTCCTCAATTTCTTCTTCTGGTTCAGGAACTTTCTCTTTTTTTCTTCTTTTCCTTCTTCTTTGGAGGTTCACGTTCTCCAAGCATATTTTTAGGACAGGCATAACTTAAGTGTCCACTTTCCCCACATTCCTAGCACTGGGATTTATCAAAGTAGTTTCGTCTTCGGATGAATTTAGCTGCTCTTCCGTTGTTAGCAATGCTTGCTTTTATCACTCTACCAAATAACTGTTGTTTATCGCCCTGGTGCAGTTTTGCGCTGAGTCTTTATCCAAAAACAAAATGAATGTAACCCCTTTACTCTTCCTGATATTTTTATCAGGGAAAAGGGCAGGTTGGACACATACACTGTGCTTTTACTCGGGGCCAATCCACCACTCATTTCTTCAGATGGGGAGGCGGCACGCGAGCCCCCCGGCCCAGGCTCACCCGCGACTCCTGCTGCAGCTTTGCCGCGACTTGGACATCGCGGGTGCCAGGCAGCAGCAGGCGCCGAGAAACAGACCTGAGTGGCTGCGGCCCGATTTATTACTTTTCAAATCACATTATCTTAAACTAGCATAAGAGAGCTAAACCATGCCAATGAATTTACTATGGCCCATACATGCATGGGAAATTACATAATTTTAGATTTCTGGAAAAAAGCAAAAACAAGTAAATCCTTGAGATTTTCTGTTTTCTGTTAAATTATTTTTCAAAATATTTTATAATACCCATAAGAAATATGATTTGCTTACAAAGAACTGGTAGATCTCCAATAGTAAAAATTTCTTCAACTACTTTTCTATCTGACAGCTCCATACCAGCATGATGATAAGCAACACCATGTATTAAGATATCTGTAGTAAAACATATCACTTGTTAATTCATACCAATATATACCAGTAACAGATTCATTTTATCTATATCTGAAAAAGCTGCTTAACAGTCACTAAACCTACCTTTCAGTTTCAAATCTCTTACGGAATATGCATACTTCTGTAACCTATATAAAAAAACCATAAAATTATTGAGAGTTCTTTAGTAACATCAAAAAACTCTGAAGTAATTTATTATTTTGAAACTTACAGGTATCAAAAGATTTTTTTACAACATCATTACTTGAAAACTAACTTCAATATTAAAAAGTCTCTATCAGTTATAACATTAAAACTCACTTTTGAGAAAAATTCTTTTTTTTAAGATTGATTGATTATTTAAAAGAGTCACAGAAAGAGGAGAGTCAAAGGGAGAGAAAAAGATCTTCCATCTACTGGTTGCCTCCCCAAATGGCCACAACAGCCAGGGCTGAGCCAGGCTAAAGCTAGGAGCCAGGAGCTTCATCCAGTTCTCCCACTTGGGTACAGGGACCCAAGCACTTGAGCCATACTTGCTGCATTCCCAAGCACATTAGCAGGGAGCTAGATTGGAAGTGGTGCAGCCAGGAATACAACCAGCCATATGGGATTCCATCATTGCAGATGGCAGCTTAACCCACTCCGCCACAGCACCAGTCCCTGAAATTCTTTTAAACTAAGAATTTAGAAAAGTCATTCTCCCACAGGACAAAAAAAAAAAAAGATTATAAATGGTGATTATGTTCATGGGTCAGAATAAAAAAACTTACTCCTACAATTTGCATGGAAATATTTGTAAGGAATAATTTTTAAAATTCTACTATATAATTAATTAACCCCAAAAGATTGAAATAAAAAATAGCTGTTGATTGTGCTCTGAGACATGGCACATAAAGAAAATGGTTAAGTTTAAAACGAAGGGAAGGTTAAAAAAGTTTCTTAATAATTTGAAAAAGATATTCTTGGTACTTTCAAAGATTTTGTTAGTTGGCAGGTTCTTAAGTATGTCAAAGAAATCCAAATTTGTGCATTTCCATTTCTTTGTTGCAAATAAGACACTTGGAGCATTATTTTAAAAAGCTCATGATTTTAAGGATTCAGAATGGAATCAAGAGAAGGCAAAAGGAAAGGACACATTACAATTAAGCATAAACAGCTATGCATCATAAGGTATCTAAGAAATACTTCCTTATTTAATTATCACAATAAATAACATTCATATTTCCATCTCTAACTAAGAAATTGAAGCTGAGAGAGACAATGAGCTCAGTGGCACACCACTAGTAAGAACGGAAGCACTATAATTCAAATCTGAGTCTCTAATTTCATGCTGTTTCTAAAACTAGCATTTTATCCCCGAACAAGCAGGAATAAAAAAGGAGATAAAGATAGAAAAAAAAAAGAGGAGCACAGTTAAGGAAGAAGTGAGTTAAAGGAAAGAGAAATTTTCCTTGAGTTACTAGCTACAAGTGGGAAATGAGAAAAGGAATTTAGATCTTATGTATGCTTCTGTACAAGAAAATAATTATCTAAAACAAAATTACCTAATTTGTGTGCAACAGAGAACAGGAGAAAAGTGACAGGATGAAATGTAAATTAATGTTAAGGGAATTTATAGCCTACGAATTTCAGTTTCCTACTCATATGGTAAGTTGAGCTTAAAAATGTTAATTATTACATACTCAACATAGGAGGCCACATAGTTATTCTATGTGAATGATCTACCATTGCACAGAGAATTCTGTAAGTCTCAAAATTTCTTTTAGAGTTAGTTTGTGAGCAAGAAAGTAAGTCTCAAGTAACAGTCAAGTTTCTGAATAAAAGTGACACAGCACAACTTGACTACCCAGTTTATTCTCAACAGAAAGTTCCACATTACGTATACCTTTTTATTGTCTCTACCCTATAACTATACTTTCTTTAATTCCAATTGTATCTTTATTATAATCATCAATATTTTTGAAACCTCACCTTTGTTAAAAATTTTAGAAAATTAATAAAAATCTTATAAAACCAAGTGCAGCTAATATGAAAACTATTAATCATGACTTGATACAGAAAAGGTCTTTGCCAGCAAAATAACCTAGTGGATGCATACATTCTTCCAATATTCTTTGATCATTGGCCATAAATAACCAAGAAGTCCTTTTGATTAAAGCCAGACATAGCAGATATTCTCAATGTAAGAATACTACCAATTAACTTCCTTAAGTTAATTGAGAAATTTCAAAATACAGATATATTTTGTTATTTAAATGTATAATACAGAAGAAAAACATTTAATAAAAAGTTAAAAAGAACTAGAGTACAGAAAAGTTGTCATGTTAGGTGGTTTAGAAACCTTAGTAACAGTATCTAGGGTTTGACAGCCAAAAAGAAGTCTTGTGGGAGTGGATAAAGGGGAAGTATCATGAGTAACAGTCAGTCTCCCTTCCTAGTCTATACCCACCCAAAATGGCAAACCATTCCTTTTCACATATGCTTTTTCTTGGAATGAAACAAAAGCAGAACTTACAAGATAGATGAATGAGATTCCATTCAATTGGTAACTGTTCCTAATAAAAACCTTTGATCTGTGATCTTATGTGTATAAATTAATTGAAAATAGATCTTAGTAAAAAATAAGAATGGCAATAGGAGAGGGAGGAGGAAGAAAGGTGATGGTACAGGTGGGAGGGAGGGTAGGGTGGGAAGAATCACTGTGTTACTAAGTTTGTACATATGAAATGCATGAAGCTTGTATATCTTAAATAAAAGGTTCCTAGGTCAAAAAAAAAAAAAAAAACTAAATGCCAAAATTAAAAAGAAAGGAGGTTTATTTTGGTTCACAGTTCTGGAAGTCCAAGAACATGGTGCTAGCCACGGTTTACCTTCTGGTGATATGTACGATGGGAAAGTGGAAGGGAAGTAGTGTATGTTTGTGTGAGGCAAGGAAGGCTGAACTACTTGAAACAACCTACTTTTGTAGTAACAAATCCAGTCCCACAAAACTTACTCCTGAGAGCTCTAATTCAGTCTCAAGGGAATAAATTCATTAGGGTGGTGTTCCTGTGACCAACTCACCTCCCACTAGACCCAGCCTTTTAAAGGTCCCAGCACTTCTCAATAACAATACATTGGAGATCAAGCTTCCAGCACATGGACCTTTGGGGGAAAAACCATATCCAAAACAAACCAGGTAGGAAAAAAGAAACCTATGCTACTGTTACCGTGTTAGGATTATTTTCACTTTCTTCCTTTCTGTCTACCTCTCAGACCTCATCTACTTTTTGACTGTAAGATCTTTGTTGGTTTCTCTGACTCTTTCTCTTCTATATCTTATTCCTCAATCTTGCTTTGTTAATGTACATAATAAAAACATTACTCCATATGCTTCATATTCTAGAAGTTTTTTTCATGTGGTAGTAACCAAGTGAATTGGGTTATAAAATTAAAATGGACATAGAAGTATGAAAATAGTATCTAGGGTATGGATCCTTTTTAGTGACAAGAAAGTATCAAAGAATTTCCAGAAAACTATAGTGGTATCTTCTAGGCTTGGTACATGCCTTTGGTTAACAACTGATCACAGGTGGTGGCAAAAGAACAGATTGGTAATTTTGAGACAAAATAGAAACAGATCTACAGAACTCACTAAATCAAGTTCTCCAAATTTGATGTGTATCTACCTGCTGACCTAACTACGTATCCATTTCCAGCTCCATATCAATCGGAAGAAAAACATACCCATACCCTAACTGCAAAATATCCCCAGTCCCCTCCTGGTCCTGTTACACATGCTCAGAGTAGCCCAGCACAACTGATATATGATCTTGCCGGAGTGGTAGTAGTGAGCAACACCACCATTTTGAGTGTGTTGTATGCAATAAAAGCAACTGTGCCTATACAAAACAGCAAACTGAGGGAAAACTGAAATGCTGAGTGCCCAGGGAGACAAGTCAGAACTCTGAGCTGAATGTATATTGAACTGGTATGTGCTGAGAGAGAACTGCCACACCTCCCCACCAGTTCCCTCACTGAGCCTGTTGGCAGAATGTCTTCCACCCATGTTGTTTCCCTTGTGCTCAGCATAAGCCTCCAATAAATCTTGTCCTGGTTGCACACTGGACCCTTATCAATTTCTATTACAAGGAAGTCAAAAAACCTCAAATCAGTGTCAATTTGAAGGATGCACTTAAGCAAAGTAGACAAAAGTGTATCCTCCCATGTAAGATTAGTCAGAAAAATCAGTATCTACTCATCTTCACATGCTGTTAATCAAACGAAGTTTAATTTGAGATCTACCACTAAACATATTTACCAATTCCCCAAAGTTGTTATAAATAACAAGTTAATGTCCATTAAGTGGTAACCACAGCTAGCACTCTGTTGAGATTGCTAAGATTGAGCAGAAAATGAGATGAACATAAGTCTCCCTTTCCTCCAGAAGTCTGTAATCTAATGAATAGGATATTAAAATTGAATATTATTCAACTATAACACAGAATGAAATTCCATCATTTGCATCAAAATGGTTGGACCTGCAGGACATCACATTGAATGAAACAAGCCAGACACTGAAAGACAAGCACTGCATGTCCTCCTTTATAGATGGAAGGTAAAATTAGAAAACAAAAAAAAAAAGAGAAATGCCTGAGTGTATCAGTTTTGCTGTAAATATGATGTTTTTTTAATCTCTGTCAAACAAATTTTTAAGAATTATATACTACTTCAGTTTTGATGATTTTTGTGATTATTTTAAAATCTACTTTTTTGAGTGAAGTTGAACATCTTTTCATTTTAAAAAATAACAAACAAAAGGATGTTTACTACAATTATAGTAAGTTCTATACCAGTAAATAAAGGGAAACTGATATTAAAAGTAAGACTTGAAAGATGAAAAGGAGTTAGCTGAAAATCATTCCAGGAAAAGGAAACATGATGTAGAACAACTATGAACAAGGTAGCAGTTCAGCACATTCACAGAACAGAGAGGCCAATATGGTTTGACAGTGGTGGGTAAAAGAGGAGCATGGTCAAGAATGGAAAATTAGCTGGGTAACACAGTACACTGGATATTGCAGGCCACACTAATGATTTAGGATGTTAGCCTAGTAACAGTAAATAAAGTTTTAAGCTAGGCAGGAAACTGACTTTTCAATTTGCAGTTTTAACCAACCATTTTGCTATGTGGAAAACAAAGTGGGAATACCGTGTGTGTGTGGTCAACAGGTAAAAGGATATGACACAGGCAAGAGATTAATAGTGACCTGAATTAGGGATGTAGGAGTGCTGATGGAGACAAAATGACATATTTGAGATAAATTAGAAGTAAAAAAAAACAGAACTTGGCAATCAATTACCTACCTACAGGAAGGAAGATGAGGGAAGATATCAAAGATGGGTTTCTACCATGAACAAACAGGGAGATGATGTATAGGTAAGATGTGGAACAATGGAAGAAGAGGCAGTTTGAGATAATATGTCTATTTTGGACATAAAGAGCTTGAGACACTTGTAAGATAAGCAACTGGATGTCAGTTAGACAGATGGACTATAAGCCTACAGCTCAGAAGGGAAGTCTGAGCTGGAGGTATAAAGGTAGAAATTCATAGCGTTGAATAAAAAAATGAAAGGAAGATTGAGAATGAATTATCTGCAAAGTTCGAGGAAAACTGTTAGAAGATAATGGAAGCATAAGATAAATTTTAGTGAAAGATTACACCAGATGCTACATTGAAAGTTGGTAAAAAAAAAAAAAATGAAGATAGCATTATGGATAATCTTTAGCTTTCATTAAATCTGATTATGAAATAAAGATCACAGCTGCACCAAGACTCAATATTTCATTTAATTACTATTACCCTTATTTTACAGATGAGAAAACTAAGGCTTGGAGATATCAAATAGTTTGCTTAAAGTTAAGGAACAAACCCAGTATTCTTATCTCAGATGATCTCTGAAAATCCTTCTATTTCTAAGAAAAAAGGAAATAATATACCTCTGTTTCTGTTCCATAGTCAAAACAAATTTGGCATCTTTCACAAAAACAGAAGCAGCCTGTTGCACACCTTTCCTTGTTGCACAAAACTGAAAATGAATTAGCAATTTCTGTATTAATCATACTAAAAACATAATGAACATTACATTTAAAAATAAGAAACCATAATTCATACCACAAGTGAGGGTTTCTGATCAGAATATGTTTGTATAACACTGGCAATTTTGTAGTTGAGGGATAAGTCAAACTTAAATTCAGTTTGGTTACTAGTGCAAGGAAATCCAAGGACCACTTTCTTAAGTTTCACAGGTCTATGGCTCTCATCCATTTTCAGACATACAGCAGGTCTTTCATCATTCGAAAGCCATTCTGCAATCTTTAAAAAAAAAAAAAAAGAATCAAATCATCAATTTTTTTCTAGTAAGGTTCTATGGCTGAAAATAATACAACTATAGAGCACTTTGAAATCAAGGAATAAAAGTATTTAAATAGTCTTTGTCAACATTATATATTCCATTGATACTCTTCTACTGATACATTATTAATATTACTGATAGCAGATTTCAAAAATTCTATCTACTTTTCACCATGGTAAACTTCTAATTAACTAGTATTATTTTGTCTTAGTTCCTTTCATAAAAATCCAAAGTAAAATTAAAATTGAGGGCTGGCGCTGTGGTGTAGCGGGTAAAGCTGCCGCCTCCATTGCCAGCATCCCATGTGGGCACCAACTCGAGTCCCAGCTGCTCCACTTCCAGTCCAGCTCTCTGCTATGGCCTGGGAAAGCAGTAGAAAATGTCCCAATTGCTTAGGTCCCTGTACCCACGTGGGAGACTCAGAAAAAGCTCTGGCTCCTGGCTTCAGATTGGCATAGCTCTGGCCATTGTGGCCAATTGGGGAGTGAACCAGAGGATGGAAGACCTCTCTCTCTCTCTCTGCCTCTTTTCTCTCTGTGTAACTCTGACTTTAAATACAGAAATAAACCTTTTAAAAAATTAAAATTGATTTTGTCACAGAAATGTAATTTCTCACTAGCACTATTTAGCTTCTTTGCTACTTTTCAGTATTATACCTGTAAATGACTACACTTGTGTGTTGTCTTAAGTACTAGATTAATAAGTAGCAAAAGAAATAGATACCTTAGTTTGACAAAAGTTGACTATTTTTAACAGAAGAGCAAATAAAACCTGAGAGATGACAGTGTCAAAAGCACATTCCAGACTCAGTGTTAAGAATCACTAGCTAGCTTCTTAAGCTGTGGTAAGCAATCCTTATCTTCAACAAGTCTGGTTAGTAATCAGGCTTGATGCCCTGTTATGAAATTGACCACTGATTTACAGGAAGAAGACAGATTAATGAGTTTTTGTTGCCCTGGAAGGAAATACTAAGATATTCTCTAGATTATCATCGTTAAGGATAAGATCACACAAGAAATTACAGTTCAAGGAGCTGGTGTTGTGGTGCAGTAGATTAAGCCAATGCTTGCAATGACAGCATCCCATAATGCCAGAAGTCCCAGCTGCTCCACTTCCAATCCACCTCCGTGCTTATGCATCTGGGAAAGCAGCAGAAAATGGCTCAAATGCTTGGGTCCCTGCCACCCATATGGGAGGCCAAAAGGGAGTTCTAGCCGCTTGGCTCTGACCTGGTACAGCCCTGGCTATTACAGTCATCACCAGCAGATGGAAAATCTCTCTCTCCTTTCTCTCTCTGTAACTTGGTCTTTCAAATAAATAAATCTTTTAAAAAAATAGAAGTAGCTGGGGAAAAAGCCACATTACAGTGGGCTGAGACATAAACAGGAGAGAGAAAGTAGAGTAAGACTGTACTATTTTTCAAGAAATTTGCCTAAAAGCTGAAGAAAAACTAACATATATTAATTATGGAAAGTGTAAAAATGTATACAATTATTTCTTTACATGTTCATGCACCCATTAATCATATCCTCCTCGAAGACAAGGTTCATAATTTTAATTTTTTAAAAAATTTATTTATTTATTTGAAAGGCAGAGTTACAGACAGGCAGAGGCAGAGGCAGAGACAGAGAGAGAGGTCTTCCATCCACTGGTTCACTCCCCAGATGGCCGCAATAGCCAGAGTTGCACCGATCAGGACCAGGAGCCAGGAGTTTCTTCTGGGTCTCCCATATGGGTGCAGGGGCCCAAGGACTTGGACCATCTTCCACTACTTTCCCAGGCCATAGCAGAGAGCCAATATGAAGCAGAGCAGCTGAGACTCGAACCAGTGCCCATATGAGATGCCGGCGCTGTAGGCAGCAACTTTACCCGCTATGCCACAGCACCAGCCCCCATACTTTTAATTTTTCCATCAACCATTAGTGCTTATTAACAATGCCAGGCACATAGAATTGGCAATTATCTCAGCAATTACTTTCATTCTCCACCATACTTTGCTATATAACTAGAGGCATATAGTTACAACTACCATAACATACTATTAGACAAGTTATTATGAAGCATACGAAATCCATGGAACAAAAACTTTTAGATAGTAGCAAAAAACAAAATTCTAGCAAAAATGTTTTATTAAACCTTTGATCAACCAAATTTTATCATCTCAAAAACTGTCACACTGATGAGACCTTACTAAACTTTCCACAACTTTCTTTCCTATTTACTAGGTGACTGACAAAAAAAAAAAAAAAAAAAAAAAAAAAAAAAAAAAAAAAACAACAACAACAACAAAAAACACTTTATTTTTCTCTAAGATCAAAATGATTAATCATTTCATAAATCATAAAAAAATCTGACAGACTAAAATTTTAACTTACATCCTCAGCATTTGGAATTGTTGCAGATACAGCTACAAATCTCATTGGAATAATAGCGCTGGTATTTTCTGAAATCTGGGATGAAGACTGAACAGTTTTCATTCTGCTGACTACAACTTCAAGAGTTGGACCACGATTTTCATCTTTTATAATATGTACCTAAGCAAACAATCATGAAAGAATCATTACCTACAAAATAAAAATCTATTTAATCAACTAAATTGTACAATAATATTAACATTCTTCCTTAAGAAAATGAACATTTTCCATTTGAAGAGATAAAACAAACATATATCTTGGTTGAAACTGTCTTACTTTTTTCCACCCATACTACTCATCTTTTTATGCTTATCTCTGAAACTGAATTATGTGTTCTCTACCTCATCAATGAGAAACAGTCGAACCAACTGGACCAAAGAGCTGTCTCTCCATTTCCTAGTCATGCTATCCCATTTTTCCTAGAAAAAAAAATAGTTTAATGTTGTAAGAAATTGTAGCAAATATTTAAGACATAAGTAAAAATTTTCATAACATATTACAAATGGAAGCAATGTTTTGGTTGATGCCTTTAAAGTATCCTGAAAAATATTTAAAGATTGAAAATTATTTAAAGGGTTTAAAGTTTTACAGGTGTTTAAAAAACTGGGCTCTCAACTGTTTTTTAGTTAACAGCCAAATATCTAAAGTCACAGTTTGATCAATATTTTTAAGCCAGTCTTTCCTCTATAATACATAATAATTGAGTTAAGGAATATAAACAAATATAATTAGAAATTATCCACAATAACAAATTGCCTATTCTTTGTCTATCCTATTTAGTCATTTATCTTTTACTTATTGATTTGTAACTATTCTTTTTGTATTCTGAATACAAGTATATTTTATGTTGTTTACATTGCAAACATATGCTGCTTCTAATTTGTGTTTCATTTTAACTTCTTTTCTTGATAGAGAGAACTATAAACCAAGGAAATAATGAAGTATAAATAACACCTACTGGAGTTGTCATAATAATATGGGCATGCTGAATCTCAAATAGGTCATCCATTGCTGTATCTCCAGTGAGTTCTTTACAATTCAAACCTAATGGTCCGAATTTTTCCTTCCAATCATCAAAACGCTGACTACACAGGGCTTTTATTGGTGCCACTAAAACAACATATTATTTTGAATGTTAGTGCAATTTTAAAATGATTTTTACAAATTTTGGTTGGTAAGGTTAGCCTTAAAAATACATATTTATATACTGTCTAATACTGATAATTTAAAAGTTAGCAAAATAAGCATGTTATTTACAGATATAAAGTTTATCACCAAAAACAGCCAGAAAAAAAAGGGCTGCTCAGGGAAGTATAACTAAGGGTGGACAGAGGTAGGGCAAGAGATCACTGCTTTTTCATTATAAGCACTTCTTTTATATATTTTAACTATGTGTATATTCTTGGATGGAAATTTTAAAGAAAAAATACACATCTAAGAAAGGAGAGAAATTCTTATGCAAATTTCTGTAATTACAAAATACTTAATTTGTTCATATTGCCTTTTCAAAAACAAGCACAAAATTTCAATTGTCTGCGCAGTTCCAGTCATTGCAGTCAGCTGGGGAGTGAACCAGCAGATGGAACACCTTTCTCTCTCTCTGTCTCTACCTCTCTCTGTAACTCTTTCAAATAAATAAAATAAATCTTAAAAAAATAAAAATAATAAATCTTAAAAAAAAATGGGAATCCAAATAATAGTTTCTAGGTCTGACCAAGTTTACACTTTCATTTTTGTTTCAAAGGTTTTTCATTATCTTAATTAATCATTACTCTTACAACATATACTTACTGTAAACAATTTTAATGTTCAACCATGGTAATGGTACTTCCATTAACAATCTTGTGATAGCTAGTTCAAATATTACCGTTTTCCCAGAACCAGTTGGAGCACAAATCACAAAGTTCCTATCTGTATAAAGAAGCTAAAAGATACAATTTAATCAATCATATAATTTACAGAATTTTTGACACACATTCTTCTTAAATTTGCTAGAAAATATGTCTTAGGAAGACTCTCAAAGAATAATAGTTTAAGCTTTTTTACCTATAAATAATTCAAATTCTAACCTTCTTCCAGACCCTCTATTAATAACTATTAATATTTTATCATGCTGTTTTATTTGTTAAGGTAGTACACAAGATTTAGAAGAAAATAATTCCTTTAGCTTCCAAATTCTTATGAATCCATTAAATACAACCCAGTCCACCTATGAAAACCATACATATTCATTTAACATTTTTCTGAGTTGCTATAATGTCTAGTCACTGAGTATAGCACTGGTAATATAAAGATGTGATCTAGGGCAGGCGCCGAGGCTCAATAGGCTAATCCTCTGCCTGCAGCACCGGCACACCGGGTTCTAGTACCGGTCGAGGCGCCAGATTCTGTCCCGGTTGCTCCTCTTCCAGTCTAGCTCTCTGCTGTGGCCCGGGAAGGCAGTGGAGGATGGCCCAAGTGCTTGGGCCCTGCATGGGAGACCAGGAGAAAAACCTGGCTCCTGGCTTTGGATCAGCGCAATGCGCCAGCCGCAGCGGCCATTGGGGGTGAACCAACAGAAAAGGAAGACGTTTCTGTCTGTCTCTCTCTCACTGTCTAACTCTGCCTGTCAAAAAAAGAAAAAAAAAAAAAGATATGATCTAGTCCCTCAGAGAGCACACAATCTAGTAAGAAGAGAATACTAAAAAAATAATTTTGATAAAATACTTACATCATCAAAGGCTTTTGACTGTATATAGTTAAAATATGGAAATTCCTTAAAAATACTTCTATATTTTGTCGCTTAAGATAATATTAAGGAATAAAATAAATGAAAAGTTTAAAAATTTGTTACTTTTAAAATTCAGTTAAATTAATATTGAATCTGCTAACATTAATGATGAAGCTTTAACATTTCCTATTTTGGCATCTTAGAAAGGAATTAATAGAAATTATTCCAGTCTAGTCACATTTCATATACTGAAATAATTTGTAAAATTTCTATGGCTATGCAAGTGTTATTACTTGAGTGTTAAATATGATGGGAGAAGGGAGGGGATAGTAGTGGCATAGAAAGTTGATCACTCAGGATACCTACATCCTATATCAGAGTACCTTGGGTTGAGTCTTACCCCCACCTATGCTTTCCAATCCAGCTTACTGCTAATGTGCCTCAGAGGTAGCAATGATGCCTCAAGTACTGACCCCTTGGTTGAGTCCAGGTGTTGCAGGCATTGGGTGGAACAAAACACAGGATGACAGGTGTCTCTTCCTCCCTCTCTGTGCTTTTCAAATAAATTTTAAAAATACAGCGGAACAGATGCAAGTATGTATAGATAAGCATATCATAACTAGCTTCTAGTTTATATTCCAGACAAATGCTTTTTATGTTATTCACCTTGACTAGGCTTTCATCTCTTCTTCAATCTTTCAGATTTTATTTATGTACTGTTGATTAGTGACTGTGCTTCAGTAGTTGATGTGCGTTTCTGGTCACCAAACCCTGAATTCCTTTGTTTTTTGATAATTTAGCTGTGTTAAGTAGTAGGCTTAATTGTAATTATGAGCATACTGTTTCAACAGAAAGAACTTAAATCACCTTTCCCCTGTAAGAAAGTCCAAAAATACTAATAGATAGGAGAATAAACTGCACCCTTCCTAAGGTGAGGGTCTACTGCCAGCCTGGGAAAATTTTTACTTACACAGTATTCTTACTCTGAGTCACAATCTGTCAACTACATATGTTAAACCCTATATTCAGAATACATTACCAGATTTAGAAAACTACAGAAAGCTGAAAATAAGAAAATGAATTCCTACAATTGAGGCTTTTTTAATCTAGTAGAAGATATGGCACATAATTTATATATCTGAAAATCAAAGACAATTATTTAAGAAATTGTGGGTTTTTTTAAAATTTTATTTATTTATTTGAGAAGTAGAGTTACAGAGAGAGGGAGAGACAGAGAGAAAGGCCTTCTATTAGCTGATTCACTCCCCAAGTGGCCACACGGCTGAAGCTGAGCTGATCCGAAGTCAGGAGTCAGGAGCTTCTTCCAGGTCTCCCATGTAGGTGCAGGGGCCCAAACACTTGGGCCATCTTCCACTGCTTTCCCAGGTCATTGAAGGATTGGAAAAGGAGCAGCTGGGACATGAACTGGCATCCATATGGGATGTTGACGCCACAGATGTAACCTTAGCCTACTACGTGAGAGCACCAGCCCCAGAAATTGTATTTTTATTAAGACATTTATGGAGCCAGCACTGTGGTATAGCTGGTAAAGCTGCTGCCTGCAATGCCAGCATCCCAAGTGGGCCTGGTTTGTCTCCCAACTGCTCCACTTATGATCCAGCTCCCTGCTGATGCACCTGGGAAGGAAAGCAGAGTGTGACCCAAAGGTTTGGGCCCCTGCTACCCACATGGGAGACCAGGAGAGGCTCCTGGCTCCTGGCTTTCTTGTGGCTCAGCCCTGGCCGTCTGGGGAGTGAACCAGCAGATGGAAGATCTCCCTCCCTTGCTCCCTCCCTCCCTCCATATCTCTCTCTCTCTCTCTCTCTCCTTCTCTCTCTGCAGCTTTCAAATAAATAAATATTAAAAAGGCATACAACTATTGATGAACTGCCATTCTCAGCTCAAACTCTATTTTTCTCGAAGTATACAATTACAAGGACCTACATGATCTTATCTCCACACAACTACTATCCATTCACCCACTGCAACCCCGGCATTTATCTTACTGACCTCAAGAACTAGTACTCTTCCTCCTGACTCATTTCCTCTAATTATACTGGACTCTGCTATTCTTCAAAAACATCAGCTATGTTTCTGCTGTGAAGCCTTCTCACTGCCTAGGTTGTTCTTCCCTCCATGTTTCCTTGGCTCTTTCGCCTCCTTTAATGATTTCAATCTCACTATCTCCAGAAGGCCTATCCTAACTATTCTATTTAATTCCATATCCTGATCCCTCAATCCCAGCAGCCCCAATTTAATTTTGTTTTACCCTGCTCTACATTTTTTTCCCATAGTACTCATCACCTTCTAAAATACTGACTTATTTATAAACTGTTAACAATTGTTCAGATGTATCGTCTTCCCCACTCTCATCACAAGAATATTAACTCTAAGGGCAAAGATTCACTATTTCTTAGCTGACATATTACAAACATTTAGTACAGTTCCTGATACATAGTAAACACCCAGTTAATATGTTTGTATTTATTAAATCAACAGTTGATTTATAAATCATTTTATTTTGTGCAGTTTGTCAGAATATTTGTGCCAAAACAAAAATGTAATTTTGAGTTTGTCATTCCATCAGCTTTTGAAGGAATCTCATTTTTCCTTCAAGATATGTCTCTTCTTATAAAATATTTATTTGTAACAAGCCCACAAGTGGGTTATCATGCTGGTTTTTCTCTCATTAGATAGTTCTATATCAATTTATATTCACAAAGATGAATCTTTGATTCAGAGTAGATGTAGAATCAGTTTCCAGCACCTGAGAAAACTCAACTACCAATATCATTTATCATCACCATCAACACTTGAAATAGAAATTTTCCTTTTGTTCAAAAAATTCTCAGCAGTGTCACAGCAAATTATTTTTTATAATGGGGAAAAATGACTGCAGAACTGAAAATGACAAGTGTTCTGTGGCAAAATCTACCTGACAAAACTTCTATTGTCCTGAGGATTCAAATACACTAAAATATTGGAAAAGAATCTGAAAATAAATTGTGCCCAAATAATCCACAAACTCTCAAGTACCATAACTAACATGCAGTATTGCACTTTAAATACACACTTAGAAGCAAAGTATTCAAGCTCAAGTGAGTTTGACAGCAAATTAAATTTTTGACAATAATTCAATATACAGTACAGGCTATAATAATCTTAACTTACAGAGACACTTAAACAAAAGAACCACTTCAATTGTGTTAATATGACAGGAAAAATCTTTAAGTCTCTTCAAAAGGTAGTGTCATATGGAAAAGCTTTCAGCAAAGGAAAAGAACATCCTGCCGGCGCCGTGGCTCAATAGGCTAATCCTCCACCTTGCGGCACCGGCACACCGGGTTCTAGTCCCGGTCGGGGCGCCGGATTCTGTCCCGGTTGCCCCTCTTCCAGTCCAGCCCTCTGCTATGGCCAGGGAGTGCAGTGGAGGATGGCCCAGGTGCTTGGGCCCTGCACCCCATGGGAGACCAGGAAAAGCACCTGGATCCTGGCTCCTGCCATTGGATCAGCGCGGTGCGCCGGCTGCAGCGGCAGCCATTGGAAGGTGAACCAACGGCAAAGGAAGACCTTTCTCTCTCTGTCTCTCTCTCTCACTGTCCACTCTGCCTGTCAAAAAAAAAAAAAAAAAAAAAAAAAAAAAAGGAAAAGAACATCCTGTCATACAGATAATTAAACAATCCGCTTAAACTGTTTGCTGCTGATCTATTTCTTACATTTCACACTACTTAAGAAGGGAGTATAGTAGAATTAAGACACCATGCTAAACAAAAATGTGAAAGACTGGCAATGTCTAAAGGTATTACATCAACATGTTTTAACTCAATTCAGTTACCTGCACTGGAGACAAGTTTTCCTACACTGTCAAGCAAATATTTTATAACCATACTTAGGAATTATCTCAAATAATTCCCAGAGTACCCAGAATTAGAGCCACTGTTACTTAGGTCTCTCTAGTTTTCCTGCTCAATATTTAGAAATCACTTTCTGCTTTGCTAAGTACACCATAGTTTTGTGGATTCTAGAGCATTCTCTGGCTTTGATTTACTAATTCCATATTCATAAAGCAAAGTTTTGACAAGGTGACTTGCTCAAAAAATTACATGGTTTTTCCTTGTTGCTTAATAAATACATTAAAAATAAAAACAAGACACTGAGAGATCTTAAGTAGTGTCTTATGATAAAAAAAGTAACTACGTAAGGTGACGGATATTTAAGTTGATTGCAGTAATTTTACACTGAATACAAATAAAATATTACATCATGTACTTTGAATATACACAATTTTTACCTGTCCATTATACCTCATTAAAGTTGAGGTATAAATGAAATAAAAATAAAATCCCTTGACCTTGTTATTCACGGCATTAAATTATGTGATCCTTAAAATATTTATCCTATCATTTCCTATTATTCATTTAACCATATCCTTCATTTTAGTCAACTTGGAATGTTTGTTCTTTCCAAATATACATCACACTTTCTAAAACAGATTTGAAAATCAGAGTTACAAGAGAGAGGGAGAGACAGAGAGAGAGAGAGATCTTCCATCTGTTGGTTTACTCCCCCAGATGGCTGCAACAGCTGGGGCTGGGCTGAGCCAGGCAGAAGCCAGAAGCCAGGAGCTTCATCTGGGTCTCCCACATGGATAGCAGGTCCCAAGCATTTGGCTATCCTCCACTGCTTTCCCAGGCCATTAGCAGGAAGCTAGATCAGAATTGGAGCAGCTGGGACTCGTACTGGTCCCTGTATGGAATGCCAGGGTTGCAGGAGGCGGGTTTACCTGCTACACCACAATGCTGGCCCCATCACACTTTTTTACCCTCACCCTTGATCATGGCTATTTTTATGCTAGAACAACCTCCTTACTTTACGTACCTTACTTCAGCTGCCTTTCAATGTATTTGCAGGCAGAAAGTCAAATAAGGCATAGTCTTTACTTTCAAAAAGTTCTGAGGTTATGAGAAAATAGTCACAAAAATAGCTGATGATCATAGTAAGTCTAGGCTTGCATAGAGTTTTTAAAGAAGCAGAAAGGAGGGACCAGCACTGTGGCGTAGCGGGTAAAGCCACTGCCTGCAATGCCGGTATCCTATATGGGTGCCGGATCATGTCCCAACTGCTCCACTTCCAATCCAGCTCTCTGTTATAGCCTGGGAAAGCAGTGGAGGATGGCCCAAGTCCTTGGGCCGTGCACTTGCATGGGAAGACCCGGAAGACGCTCCTGGTTCCTGGCTTCAGACTGGCATAGCTCCGGCCATTGTGGCTAATTGGAGAGTGAGCCAGTGCATGGAGGACCTCTCTCTCTCTCTGCCTCTCCTTCTCTGTCTGTAACTCTTTCAAATAAATAAATAAATCTTTGTTTTTAAAAAGGCAGAAAGGAGGTTACTTCCAGAATACATATATACACTCAAAATATTTATAATACAAATGCCCAAATAAGTTGAATTATATGTACAAACTCTAAATTAGGTTCTTTTAAAATATTAATTTGTTAAAATGTCCCCAATCCATAAAATGACTCATTCTCATCCATTTCCTCTACCTAATTTATTGCTGTCCTTACTCAAAATAGAAGAAATTACTATGTAAGTGATTTGTAAGTAAACATGCTCAGGGTTCTGCCAATAATACAAATCTGATTTCTGCTTTTATTTTGTTATATATTGGTAACAACAAAGAGCTCACCTATTGGCACCAGTTTACAGACCACACTTGGAGTAGCACTTATTATCATACACATGTGTCTCTTCTATGACTCAAAGATTCACTTACCACTTGTTTTCTTTGTCAACTAAATAAACAGGAACAAACTGAAACAAAATGTTTAAAAATTATGATTTCTCAAACATAAAGCAGCTGTTATAATTTAAAGGATACGGATTTCTGCGACAGCCTTCAAGGAACCTAAACCATCTTCTGTTCCCCCTTTAAAAAAAAAAACTAAATAATCATATAGATATTTTTTAAGCTTTTCATAAAAACTGCTCCAATAAAACTCACATAACTTTTTGAAAGCACAATTAAAAAATATTAGAGTACAGCTTAACAAATAACATAAAGAAATGCAGAAATCATAGAGAGAGCTAAAACATTCAAATTTACCTCATTGCTGTATCCTTCCCTGTTCTAAGAAATGCAAATTAGTTTGTGCTTTCATAAAACCAACTAAAAAAAGCAAAGAATTACTTTGAATGTCATGAGGCTGGGATGAAAGTGAAAGAGTTGATACTTTGAACATACCTTTTCCAATTTCAGAAGCCAAAAAAGCATTATTTGCAATGAACATATCTGCAGAATATTGAAGTTTTTGATTACTATTGCTTGACCATGACTTTCCTTTGTTCATATCTGTTTGGACAAGTTTCACTGAGGTAACGTGAGAGTTCAAGCTTGCATTGTCATTACAATAAACACTCCCTTGCACACTGTCAGATAATTTAAATAATCTGGAGGGGGAAAAAACATGTTTTTAACTTGTAATAGTTGCTTAGAATGTGAAAAATTAGCAGACTTGTTCCTTTTAAAAATGTCCATACTTTATGGTTTATTCAAAGAGAAAATATAGTCATTCTTATAAAATATGACTACCTAAGTTTACTATTGAATTAGGTCTTTTCCCTTTCCTAAAACTCTGATCAATCCATTTGTGGTAATTGCTAGGTTTAAAAAACTCGGAGTTCTTGCCTTCGTAGCCCCTGGAAGAAGGAGATGGAGACTGACCTCAACAGAGACAGGTTGCCTTGTTGAAGCAAACAGGTGGTAACAGTCTTCAAAGAGACTGTGCAGGACACGAGTGGGATTGGGCTTCTAACTGGTTGCTGAGGGAACTTGCCTTGGCAGGGGAAGGGAACTTGGTGCCAAGGGCTCTCCAAAAGCCTTGGAGGCCTTTTGCTTATCTTGTTTCACACTGCATAAGTACAAACATGTGACTTCCAAAGTAGAGATATTGTCCTTTCTACATGGTCTGTCAAAATCACAGAAACTCTTACACAATGCTCCAGAGAGGCTCAAGAGAACAGTTACTGAAGCCTCTTATATGATGAAGATGCTCAAGTAATCCTTTGGAGAGGTAGTGAGACCACTTGTCAACAACCAGCACCAACATGTAAGCCAAGGTGAGTGAGCCACCTTGAAAACAGATCCTTAGCCACTGTCAAGCTTTCAGATGATGTAAGCCTGTCTAATATTTTTATTGTAGCCCTGTTACAGCCCCCAAGCATCTTTACCCACTCTTAAGAGAGACCTTCAGATAAAACTACCAATTAAGTTACTAAATTCCTTTCTCACAGAAACTGTGAGAGATAAAAATGTTTATTTTTTTTTTAAAGATTTATTTATTTTATTTGAAAGTAAGAGTTACACAGAGAGAGAATGAGAGGCAGAGAGAGAGAGAGAGGTCTTCCATCCACTAGTTCACTCCCCAATGTGCTGCAACAGTCAGAGCTGCACCAATCTGAAGCCAGGAGCCTGGAGCTTCTTCCCAGTCTCCCACGTGGGCCATCTTCTACTGCTTTCCCAGGCTAGAGCAGAGAGCTGGATCGGAAATGGAGCAGCGGCATCTCAAACCAGTGTCTCAAACCAGTGCCCATATGGGTTGCTGGCACTGCAGGCAGTGGCTTTACCCACAACGCCACAGCGCCGGCCACTACTGTTGTTTTAAACCATCAAGTTTTGGGGTAATTTGTTACACAACAGTACATAACTAATGTGCATTTTAAAGTCAGTAAAATGCTAAGGAGAAAAAACAAAAAGCCACTAAATACAGTCATCTAACAGTAAAGTGAATGGAAATGATTCAAGTTTTAGAAATACATTAAAATGCTTATATTAAATTTATAGGTATGAGGGCCCGGCGCTGTGGCACAGTGGGTTAACGCCCTGGCCTGAAGCTCCGGCATCCCATGTGGGCGCCGGCTGCTCCACTTCCTGTCCAGCTCTCTGCTATGGCCCGGGAAAGCAGCAGAAGATGGCCCAAGTCCTTGGGCCCCTGCACCCACGTGGGAGACCAGGAAGAAACTCCTGACTCCTGGCTTTGGATTGGCGCAGCTCCAGCCATTGTGGCCAATTGGGAGTGAACCATCAGATGGAAGACCTCTCTCTCTCTCTCTCTCTCTCTCTCTCTCTCTCTGCCTCTCCTCTCTCTGTGTTACTCTGACTTTCAAATAAATAAATAAATCTTTTAAAAAATTTATAGGAATGAATCAGCACACTTGTTACAAATTAAAAGTTGTCAGCAACTCTATTTGGCTCTACAGAAGCTACTAGATAATACAACAGCATTCTTTGCCAATCAAATCTGGGTTGTATGTCCTCCACCCATCCCACCCCACCAACACATTCTGTAAAAAAGAAATAAATTAAGTATACTAGCAGATCAAATCATAAATCATACTATATACTATAAAATAACCATTTCAGTATAAAAATACTTGTTGATAAAGTTCTTGAAAACAAGATGCTCTACATGATTGCATTATATTCTACTGATCAAAAGACAATCAGTCAATCTAATGTGGTCACAATATTCATAAGGGAAAGTAACCATAAAGATCCCCAGCATAACACTTACATAGACTGAGTAATGGAGATGACAGGAGGTATCAATCTTACAGAATTCTGTGAAGAATGAACCTAAACAAACTCTGAAGAAAGTTACATAAATTGTTTTGAAACAGTTATCTGTGGCTAGGGTTAATAAGAGTGGTCAGTCAGTCCAATGTCAAACAGAAGGTAATTGCCAGCAGACATCTTCACAGAAGTGTTCATTGTATACGGTTGTGGTAGCTTTTGTGCAAGGTTGTGGTTTTCAGGGAATTCTTTCAATAATTTTTATCATAGTCATGTATACATGAGAGCCATCATTTTTGGCCTTCTGACTCCATTTTATTAGAATTTGGGAAAGTGATCCATTTTTAGACTGGTAACTTTCAACCCCTTTATATAAACTTCTATTATACTTAAGATTTCCTTAATCTAAATAAATCAATCCATTTTTTAAAAGATAAGCACAAACAGTGAAATGCTACTGGAAAAACGGCACAGATTTTTGGTAAATGAGTAATACTGAAACACAGTCTGGGCTGGCATTATGCCACAGGGAGTTAAGACACCATCTGCAGTGCCAGCATACCATTTGGGCACCAGTTCAAGTCCTGGCTGCTCCACTTCCAATCCAGCTCCCTGGTAACACTCCCAGGAAAGCAGCAGATGATGGCCCAAATACTTATGCCCTTGCCACACATGTGGGGGACCCCAATGGAGGTCCAGGCTCCTGGTTTCCATCTGGCCCAGACCTGGCCATTGTGATCATTTAGGGAGTGAACCAGCAGATGGAAGGTTTCTCTCTCTGCTTCTGGCTCTGCCTCTCCCTCTCTGTGACTCTGTCTTTCAAATAAATAAGTAAATCTTTAAAATAATTCTTAAAAAAAAATCTAAAAAAGAAATCAAGAAAAAAAATCTATTTATAATAGCATCAAAAAAGAGTAAACCGAGCCGGCGCCGTGGCTCAATAGGCTAATCCTCCACCTTGCGGCGCCGGCACACCGGGTTCTAGTCCCGGTTGGGGCGCCAGATTCTGTCCCGGTTGCCCCTCTTCCAGGCCAGCTCTCTGCTATGGCCAGGGAGTGCAGTGGAGGATGGCCCAGGTGCTTGGGCCCTGCACCCCATGGGAGACCAGGAAAAGCACCTGGATCCTGGCTCCTGCCATCGGATCAGCGCGGTGCACCGGCTGCAGCGGCGGCCATTGGAGGGTGAACCAACGGCAAAGGAAGACCTTTCTCTCTCTGTCTCTCTCTCTCACTGTCCACTCTGCCTGTCAAAAATAAATAAAAAAAAAAAAAGAGTAAACCACTTAGGAATAAATTTAGCAAAATGAGTATTAGACTTGTCTACTGAAAACAATAAAACATCATTAAAAGAAATTAAAGAAATAAATGGAAATATATCCCATGTTCACAGATTGAGATGTTTAATATTGTTAGGATGGCAATACTACTTAATTTGATCTACAAATTCAACACAATTCCTATTAACATCCAACTTGGCTTCTTTGTAGAAAGTGATGTTTATGCTAAAATTCATACAGAAATGCAAAGGGTCCAGAATAGCTAGAACAACATTGGGGGGGGGGGGGTTAACAGGAGCGCAGCAAGTTAAGCCACTGCCTATGACATCAGCTTCCCATATGAGCACCAATTCAACTGCTTCACTTCCCATCCAACTCCCTGCTAATGCACCTGGGAAAGCAACAGGAGATGCCCCAAGTGCTTGGTCCCTATAACCCACACAGGAGACCTGGATGGAGTTCCTGGCTCTTGGCTTCAGCCTCACCCAGCCCTGGTCATTGTGGCCATTTGGGGAGTGAACTAGTAGATGAAAGATATTCTTTCTTTCTCTCTTTCTCTCTTTCTCTCTTTCTTTCTCTCTTTCTCTCTTTCTCTCTTTCTCTCTTTCTCTCTCTCTCTCTCTCTCTCTCTCTCTCCCCCCCTGTCTCTGTCTCTCCCTGTTTCTTTCTCTCTATAATTGTTTTTTGAATAAATAAATAATTTTTTTAAATAAGAACAAAATTGGAAGACAAATTTCCCAATTTGAAAACCTACTACAAAGCTCCAGTGCAGAATGACATATTGAACAATGGAGTAGAGAATAAAGAGCCCAAAAATAAACCCTTATGTGGAGATAAATATATATCCACATAATATATATACACACACACACTTTATTTCCAGTTCCTGGCACAGAATTCCTAAAACTTTGCATTACCTGAATGATAGGAGTGAGAGAAGCATCTTTCAATTCATAACTCCCTTTTTAAACCAGACTAGAATTTATGCTAAAAGGATGCTAGTGGAATTGTAAAATGATATAGATGCTTTGGAAAGTAATTTGGTGTTTCTTTAAAAAATTATATAAAGAGCTACCATTATGACTCAGTAATTCCACTTCTAGGTATATATATATATCAAAAGGAACTGAAAGCATATATTCCCACAAAAGTTTGTACACAAATGTTCAGAGAAGTGTTATTAACAATAGCCAAAAAAACAACTCAAATGATGATCAACTGATAAATGACTAAACAAAATATGGTATATCTATTCAGTGAAATATTATTTGGTCACAAAGGAAAGAAGTGAGAGGAGCATTTAACATAGCAGTTAAGATGCCCGGCTCTCACATTGGAGTACATGGGTTCAATTCCCAGTTCAGCTTCTAAGTCCAGCTTTCTACCAATGCAGATGCTGGGAGGCAGTGATGATGGCTCAAGTAATTGGGTTCCTGCCAACCATGTGGGAGACTTGGGTTGCATTCCCAGTTTTGGGCTCTGCCTCAGCCCAGTCCCAGCCATTGGTTGAATTTAGGAAGTAAAACAGTAGATGAGTTTTCTCTCTCTCTCCCTCTCTCTGTCTCTGTCTCTCTCCTTCCCTCCCTCCCTCTCAAATTAAAA